GGAACCCAGGCTTCCCCTTCTCCCAGGGTCACGGTGCAGCCACGGCACACTGTTTTGTGATGACCAAGGCCATGTTCCCCACGACTGCATCGGAGACCCTCAGTGGGGGAGTCTCAGGCAGGCTGCTGTCAACACCAGCTAACGGAGCAGTGCAAGTCCAGAGGGCGGCGGCCGGGAGGAGCGCTCTGCAGGATGTGCAAACAGATCGCACCGCTGGCGCAGAGAATGAGGGGAAATGCTGCTGACCTGTGCGGTGACCCCAGGCACGGTCAGCGCAGGCTGCAGGCTCGGATCCCACAGCCAGTGGGCAGGGGCTCCACATGGGGGTGCACTCCCGCCTAGGATCCAGAACAGTCATCTGTCACCCACACCAGGCAAGCCGCCCCTGGGGAACCGGCCAACCCAGAACACCTTTCCTTCTCCGTGAAAGCATCCTGCTTTGGTGTGCGGTCCCCAACACAGAGAAAATACAGACACAAAACCCCAAGATTTCTGTGCTGTTCAGAAAACATTAGGGCTGATTCTCAAGTTGAGGTAATTCAAGAGGAAATGAATTCCCCCAGTACAAAAGCCAGCCCAGATCATCTCAGGTCCCAGGGCGCCCTGCTGGTGTCTCTCTCATTACCAGCCGACAAGGCCTTCACGCCTCTCTGTGGCCTTCAGGACTGTCGAAGCCTCCATCGAGGCACCAGGAAATTGCCTGCCCCCCAGTACTCCGGAAGGTGCACGGCAGAGTGGAGCAGAGCAGACATACAAAGGGTAGTTTGCAGGCTGCGTCACTGAGTCCCGGGGAGGGCTCATCTGAGACTGGAGATTGCTGGGGTGAGAGCACGTTCTCCACCTACAGCCAAGCTTGTGCTACCAGCAGCCACCTGGGGATATGGAGGCCTGCAGCCCTGCAGCCCTGCAGCCCTGGAGGCCTGGAGGCCTGAGCCCTGGGGCCATGGCTTCCCAGCTCTGAGCTCACTAAGCAGGTTTCTCCCCACTGTGCCCATTTCAGTGTCCCCACCCTCCCACACTTGGCACAGGGTTGGGAGGGGACAAGCAAGGCTGTGCCCGCAGTCAGGAGGCCTTCTGGCTGTCCTTCCGGGGCTGCCTGGGGCTTCAGAGAGGTGACCTCGCAGTGGGCAGCAGGGACATCCTCGTCTCACTCTTGGCCTCCGAGTCAGCAGGGGACCCACCTGGACCCTCAGTACCTCACATCTATCCCTCGCTTGGGCTGCCCGAACTCAGGCACCCTCAGGTGTCATTCTTCAGCATCGCCAGCTTCTGTCCTAACGGCAGCCTGTCACACGTCCGCTTCTGGATGCCAGTGGCCAGGGCTGGTCGCCCAAGTGTAGCCCCAGCAGCCACCACAGCCCAGGAGGCCCAGCTCAGCCGGGTGGGTGGGAATCGTCCGGCAGCTGCTGGGTCACCGAGCCCTGTGATCACAGGCACCACAGCAGAGCAACCCCCCCCTCCGCCTGACCCTTGGGAAGTGGGGCGCAGGGGTGTCCCCAGGCCTTCCCAGGGGAGTGAGACACAAGAGCCTGGTTTGGGTGGGCTAAGAGCGGGAGCACCGAGACCCCTTCTGGAGGGTTTGTCAGGGGTGGCTGAGGGACGCACCCCAGCTGAAGGACAGGGATGCACCTGTGCCCTCCAGCTGACCATGGAAGGGCTGCCCCCGCCTGCCGGCCAGCTCCACTCCCTTGGAGGACGCAGGGGCCCCAGGGGTGGGTCAGACCTGGGTGCCAGCCCTCCGCGTCACGGTGTCTGGTGTGAGGTGTCCCGGCGGCATGACCCTGTGCTTCCCTTCCTCCCTCGGGCTCTGTGTATAATGAGCTGCACGTGGGCTGGGCCCTGGGCTACATGCTTTGCTCCAGGGGAGCCCAGCTTTGTGGGTGCACATGGGTGAGCCCAGGTGTTGCTGCAGGTGGGGATGTGCCCCTAAGCACCCTCGCCTCTCTGCTGCTCGCCTTGCACACACGGCCTCTGCTCGCCCACCCCCCAAGCTGATGAATCTCCCAGTGGGACCCCCGAAACAGGGTCTCATGGGTTGACATGTTGAGGTCCTAACTCCCAGGACCTCAGAATGTGACCTTATTTGGACATAGGGTCTTTACTGAGGCGATCAAGCTAAAATAACAGACCCTCACTCCCAACAGGACTGGTGTCCTCATCTTTACAAGGGACATTTGGACACAGACGCATTCACAGGGAGGCCCCACATGAAGACAAAGCATAGACTCAGGTGAAGGATGCCACGGACTCCCCAGGCCACCAGACACAGGATGGAGCCAAATAGCCCCCCTGAACTCCTGCTGCTCCATGCTGGTGCCCGAGAGTGAGCATGGCGGGCAGGTGGGAGACCTCCTCACGTTGCCATTCCATTGAGTACTTCTAGCACCGCTTGACATCCAGGTTTCTGTGCCGCTTGGTTATCTTTCCATGCCATCCTGTCCAGGTGGTCCTGACGCCCTCATCATGGTGTGGCCCGGGGTGGCACAGTCTCTGTGTGACTCACCGGATGTTGCCAGTCAGCACATGGGCCTTTGCTTGCCCTCCTGGGACACAGATGTTTTTTGCTCCACTAGTTGATAAAGATCGAGGAACTGTAATTGTTCACAAAGCGTAGCCTAAGCTAATTAAAACATATTTTGATATTTAACTCTTATTTTGAGACTTTATTTTTTAAATTTTTTATTACTATTATTTAAGATTTTATTTATTTATTTATAGAGGTACAGAGAGAGAGAGAGAGAGGCAGAGACACAGGCAGAAGGAGAAGCAGGCTCCACGCAGGGAGCCCGATGTGGGACTCGATCCCAGGTCTCCAGGATCACGCCCTGGGCTGAAGGCGGCGCTAAACGCTGAGCCACCCGGGCTGCCCTTTTTTTTTTTTTTTTTTAAAGATTTTATATATTTTGAGACTTTATTTGTAGGTCTTCAAAAAAATTTTTTTAAAGATTTTATTTGTTTATTCATGAGAGACAGAGAGAGAGAGGCAGAGACACAGGCAGAGGGAGAAGCAGGCTCCCTGCAAGGAGCCCGATGTGGGACACGATCCCGGGTCTCCAGGATCACACCCTGGGCTGAAGGTGGCGCTAAACCACTGAGCCACCCAAGCATCCTGGTCTTCAAAAATTCGAAGAATGTTAAAACTACCTGAGATTCCCAAGAGGACGTGTTTGTTCTTAATTATCTTCAAATCGTTTCCCTATCTTTGAATCTTGTAAAAACCAAATAAATAAGAGCATTGATGTGAATTTTTCCAAATTATGATTTTGTGTGACTAGTATTAAAGGCTAATACATATTCTTACTAATAATCAAGGAATCCATATTTCCTATTAAAGTTTTAAAAAAGATTTCATTTATTTATTCATGAGAGAACCAGAGAAAGAGGCAGAGACAGAGGGAGAAGCAGACCCCCCACTGAGCAGGGAGCCTGATGGGAGACGCAATCCCAGGACCCCAGAATCACACCCTGAGCCGAAGGCAGATGCTCAACCACTGAGCCACCCAGGTGTCCCTCTTATTAAAGTTTTACAAAGAAATTAGGATGGCACCTGTCCATGGCTGCTAGGTTGTCAGACATGGCTCCCAGCGGACAGAGGTCTCGCTGGTGGGTCAACAGAACAAACAAAAATCCCTTATGTGAGGGTAAGCGATATGTCACCTCCAAGAACGTGCTGTGGGGAGTGTAGTGTCGATTTCTCTGCAAGTTGAATGATTTTGTCAAGACTGGCTGGCATTAGCCTTGACATCTGTCTACTAATTGGACTGATGTCTTCAGTGTACAAGAAATTCTCCGTCTGATTGATAGTTGGCAGGTTCTCAGATCTCTGCCAGGCCTCCGTCCAGCTGGGTTAGGACAAGTGAGTGCATCTCCATGAGGAGTTAGACATTTACGATTTCATTCAATGTTCCGGGATTATTCCAAGTCCCGGAGTCCTGAAACTGTGCAAAGGTGAGCATTGTCCCTTGGGGAATATATTTAAAAATTTTAGTGGTATCCTCTTAATGCAAGAAATTTGTAAATAATATGTTCTCAAGGCTTTTTCCATGAAAAAGGGAGCACATGGGTTGTGGGTTATGTTAGGTTATGACCAAGTAAATGGTGGTGTGCTCCTGGGAACATGGGGGAGGGGTGCTGTGTGCCTGTGAGCCTCTGCCAATGGGCACTCACTGGACGTCAGACGAGGTGAGAGAGATACCCACCCCAGCCGCCAGGCTCCCCCGAGCCGGGTGTAGACACTGGACAGCTAACGACAGACATGAGGCCCTGGGACCCTGGAGTCACCAGGGGCACCTACGTCCCATTGGTGGTTCAGTCTCGTGCTGGCCACTGGTGGTTGGCTGGTGACAGTGACAGCTACCCACTCTGCACATTCCTCAGCACTGTGTGCACAAGGCCCGGGGACGAGCCCCAAAGTTAGAACTGCACGTGCTGGAGACCTAGGCCTGACCTGGTCCCTCCCAGAGGTTTGGGGGGCCTCTGAGGTGATGGCATCAGAGCATCAAACACTTGCTCCACCTTTGTCACTCTAATCGGGTCAGAATCCCAGGGTCTGGTATTAGGTTTTGTGGGTTTGAGGTTAGTCCTCAGACAAGGAGCTGGAGGGGCGGCAGCGGGGATCTGGGTGGGGACGGGGATGCATGGAACCAGCCTGCTGTTGTGACCAGCGGGCGCAGGGGACACCTGGAGCGACCCGTGGATGACGTGGCCCAAGTCTGGACAGGAGGCAAGAAGAGAGATGAGAGTAAGAATGGGGGAGGTGGAAGCTTACACCCCAGGTGGCAAGAGGACAGTAGAGCTCAGCCAGCAATCCCACGAGGCAGCCCTCCTGCCCTGCATGCCTGGGCTGCGCTGTGGCCTCGGTGAGTGCAGGCACCACCTGGGCATCAGGGGACCCTCAGCCCAAACACTTGGGCTGACAGGGCTTACCCTGCAGCTTCCGTCCCCAGAGACTTGGGCCTAACTGCTGATTATTGTTCTTATTTATAAAGAAACCAAACCAGACATTTCTTTCATCTTTATTGCAAGCAGATTCAAGTTTCCTGCTTAAATAATCTGCAGAAAAGTCTGATATAATTATCATCGATATTATCTACAGAAATAAAAGTTAAAACCAGGAGCATACAAAATAAACTTTACAGAAATGTAAGATTTGGTTTAATCACAATTTAAAGTGGGTTAATGAATTATTATCAATCAAACATTACTACCTGGAGACTGATTTATTATCTTAACTGCACCTAATATATTTCATAATTAAAAATAAATTCCAGTATTTATGATGATGACAACTATAGATACCATTCATGTTAAATACATTTTGAAGATTCTCTTTTATTGCATTACATAATGAATGGACATTTTAAATGGCAATGCACATCATAATTTTAAGTCAGAGACAATATATATTAAAATTCTGTATACTTCGAGAAGATAAAAAATAAAGCTATATAAACTGATCTTTAGATTTTTTCTGCAAAAGTAGAATCACACTTTAATACTTCCAATGCATCATCGTTAAAGCTTTGTTTATAGACAATATCAGAATGATTCTCACTCCCATTCACCTAACCCTCTAACTTAAAAAAAAAAAATGCATTTGCCAACTGACATTTTTCCTGTTTTTAAATGGGAAGTTTCCAAAAGAAATGTAGAAGGCAGGAAACCACACACCGAAATATGACCCAGAGCTGTTACATGAATAATGTGGATTTCAAAGTAAAGTAGGAGGAGTTGCATTAGATTATTACCAGTCAGTGCAACACGGACAAACTTCCTGCTTTTAAAGAAAAAGGCTGGAAAACTCGCTTTAGGCTGCACGGGACACTTGATGTGCAACAATTTGAGGCTAATTAGAACAGCATGTAGGAGGCATTTCTGTACTTGAAGCTGCAAAATCTCACCAGGCCAAACAATTCTATAAACTCGCCAATGCAGAAGCCGGGCGTGTGGGCCTCCTTTCCTCGGGCAGCCACCGCCCCCATGGGGGTCGTGTCTGGTCTGTGTTCACCCTACAGAGTCAAACGCATGGGACTGGCTGATGTGGGTTCTAACCGGAGTTGCCAAGGGGAGGATGTCTTTTCCCCCAGCTGTCCGTGGCAGAGGGCCAGCCAAGGCTCCCAGGTGCAGGCAGAGGCCCCGCAGCTCGGAGGTCCAGACACTGCTCTCTGTCACCTGTCCTATGGGCGGAGCTGTGGGAGGCGTCAGCTGGGAGGCCTCCCTGAGGAGGCGGCGCTTGTTAGGCAGCGGCCCTGCAGCATCGTCCATCCATAGCCCCCTTGCACGCCCTGGGCCCGAGGTCCAAGGAGCCTTGTGTTCATGGAGCTCCTGGCAGGGTCCCCTTAGGAAGGAGGCAGGATGCTTGGAGCCCAGGGAGCATGTGCGCACTGTGTGTGTGTGTGTGCACGTGCGTGCGAGCTTGTACACGTGCACGTGTGTGGCCCTGAGTGGACATGTTGCTGAAAGCAGGAGACGAGGACCCGGTCAGGACCACCTGTGCTTTATTGGTGACCTGCTCTGAAGGGGATGGATGGTGTGCCAGTTCGGAACCAGAAGTTGGGGCCAGTGTGGGAGTTCATTAACGCGGGCAGTCCTGAACAAGATTTCCAAAACTAAGAAAAATGTTTAAAGTTGACAGGACTTGCTTGAAGGTCATTTTAAGGCAAGTAAATAGGAACTAGTGGAGATGAGAGGTGGCACCGGGTCCTATGCACACATCCATCCCAGCGGCTCTTCTGCTCTGCCTCCCGCCCGCTGTCCATGTCCAGGGACCGGGTGCAGTCTCAGGGCATTTCCCAAACAATCTGGTGAAAGCCATCTGGAGCGTGTAAGGGGTTAGTGACTTCCACAATGAGATGCACACTCTCAGAGGTTAAGTAGCGACTGTCTCAGCCCAGGGGAGAGAGGATACCAAACCATCCATCGAGAAGCTTCTATTTTAAGGCCGAAGGATGGAAATAAAAAAAAAAAAACACACAAAAAAGCAGATGAAATCTGCAATCAACTATGAAGAGCAAGCAAGCAAAATATTGTGCTCTAAATATGCCTTCAATGAATCACTGCTGCTGGGAGCACCAAACACAAACAGGGAGAACAAAATCAAATCTGAGACTTCACATTCATTGGATATGGAGACATTCCGCTGGAACTCCCACCAGAATTTAAATGCAAAGTGGCCAAAAGTTTGTCAACTTAAAAAATAAAAGCTTTAAAAAATACTTTAAAAATCAGATGTGTTATGTTAACAAATAAATGAATCAAGAGATAGAAACAGCTATGAAAATACTTCAGTGCAAAGGCAATTTTAAGATTTCTAAAAAAATACATTACAAAGAATTTGTTAACTAAACATACAGAGAATCTGTCCCCCTACAGGTATTACATGTATACCCATATTAGGTTCTTAAAAACGGCTGTAAAAACACACACAGCATTGTTCGCAGGGTCTAGCGCGGACGGGACGTCCGGGGCGCCACCACACATAGGACGTGGGGACGCGGGGGACGCAGGACGGACTGGACGGAGACCCCGGCGCTCTTCGTCCTTTCTCCTGGTCTTTGGTATGCTGTTTCTACTTCACCTGAACTCATCCCAATTACTCTGTGTACACAGTTAATTCATCCCCCAGTTCAAATAAATATTTTATAGGCAAAACATGATACAATCAAGCTGTGAAATCTGGACTTTCAAAAATGCCTGGCACCTAGCGACTCTGAAGACAACTCCGTGTCCACGCACCAGCATCCCCGGTCCCAGCAGTGGCCTGGAACCCAGCAGTGGGCAAGGGGCCTGCTTGTAGTTGAGCTTCTGGGTGATGCTTTTCTAAAAAGGCATCTATTTCAACATCCAAACTTTGAATCTGACTGAAATGTCTTTGTGGACCATTAAGGCTACATCAAAGAGTTATTTCTAGAAGCAAAGAGCGGTCCAGAGAAGGGATGGGGACTATCAGCACGGCAGCCTTCTGAACGTCTGCCCACCCCACCTGACCCCTGGACAGCCCATCGCAACATGGCAGAGATCTGACACACAATGCAAGGTCTGGTCCAGGGCGGCCATCCTGCTTTTGGGATGCAGATGCTGCCTCACCTTTAGACCTGTGTCGGCCTGAAACAGATTCTGGGAGATGGATGCGGTCCCTGGGGGCCCCTGTCGATGAGGACCTTGAAGGGGCCTGATCGGCACAGCCCGGCCAGCAGCCTTCCCCTGGAACCGGTGAGACAAGCGCCCCGACAAGAGAATGCGGGGAGGTTCTACTTGTGGGGCATGAGGAAAACTACCTCTGAATGTGTCCTGGGAAGGCTTCAGTGGACAGAGCCGCCGATCGTTCATGCACAATACTTTCTTCTCCACAGGCCAGGGCACGGGAAACACTCAGAGATCCGCACAGGGGATGCTAGCTCCCTTGGAGAGGCAAACTCCCCCTCAGACAGATCCCGACAAGCAGCTTCACTAGGTAGCAGGCTGGGACAGAAGCAGGACAGTCCAGGATGTGGACAGGCTGTGGGAACAGGTGACGCCAGGTTCCAGTCTGGCCAGCTCCAGGAGCACGAGGACCGGAGTGCTGCAGATGAAGAAGCACAGAGGCCCGGCCAGCATGTCCCACAGTGAGGACTGGGCCGCTGTGCTCAGGATTGATGGTGGTGCGGCTAGCCCTGCTCAGGGTGATGGTCACCACCACACGGTGTCCTCCTCTGGTGGCACCTGAGACTAGAGGCCTTGGCCCGGGATGCCCCGGGCTGTGTGCGCCCTTCCTTGCAGCCCAACTGAAGCCCGAGGGAGGCCGTGTGGGGCCCCCAGACCCAGGAGAGGCGGCGCACCAGCCATGTGCTCCAGACAAGTCCGGTTGTTCTTGTGCCTCCCCGGGGGGTGTGGAGAAGTACACGTGTGCGGCTCTCAGAGGCTTGGACCGGTGGCCCGTCCGCCAGCAGTGCCTGTGGGGCGCAGGACTGGGAGGTGATGGCTGTGCAGGAGACCCTTGAGGGAGGCCACGTCAGCGTCACCTGTTTTGTGTGCGGGCCTGGAACATGGCCCAGGGGCTGGGGCTCTGTGGACAGGCCAGGAGGGTGAGTTCTGGGAGGTGGTCGTGGCCGCACATGCATGTGCTCTGTTGGAGAACAGAAAGGATAGCGTCAGTCCCAGGACCCTGTCCCCCTACCAGGAACCCTGCCTAGCCTGCTCTGACGCTGCCTGTGGGGACTCCCATTCCAGACACAGGCCGGGCTTGTGTGACCCATATGTGACTGAGAATATGGAACCAGCGTGCTGACCGTGTTCTGGCTACAAACAGCTACCTTGCTTGGTTGGCTCCACCGTCAGGTACACCCGAGGTGAGTCACTGTAAAGCCTGTGCCAGAGGGACAGAGACTGGGGCCCAGGGTCCCCTCCACGCACACAAACATGGTCTGTGTGGGTTCTCAGGGCCCAAGGAAGCCAGCCACCTCGCCTAGACATTGTTAAATTCAGCAGGCAGCAGGGATGGGGGCAGCAGTGCAGGAGAAATTGGTCTTCCAGGGATTACCATCCTCAGGCACACCTGCTCCTGGATAAGAAGGCAGGTGTGCCTGTCGTGCCTTGAAGCCCAGCTCAGGGTGCTTCGTGCATGTGGCTGCATTTCCACGCCTTTCTGGGGGCAGACACAGCTCCACGTGTCGGCTGATGGACAACAGAGGACCTGGGCCAGACGTCTGCCTGGGTGTATTCAATGTGAATTATGCAATATCCCACTGTTTTTTCACAATTTGGTCTTTCCTGATACACCTTTAAGAGGAAGCTCCTTCCATGACCACAGCCGAGAAATGAGCTTTGTTCTACAGACTAATCACAGGGCACACAGGGTGAGTGGCCTCCCATAAATGCATGTGGAAAGACGCTGGCCATGGCACACGTGAGTATGTGCATCCTGTACACAGCCACATGCAGCCCAGCCATGCTCAGGTCACTTACCTGGGAGAAATACACATGTGTGCGTAAAAAGTGTTTGTTTTTCATCATGAACCTTTGTTACCAAAATGGCACAGCACAGCAAAACTTTGGAGGAAAAATGGACAGTTTGGAAGGATCACAGCACACCCAGGAGGCCTGCCAGCAGTGTGGCAGACACTGTTACCTATCCTTGGCTAATGGCGCCTCGGCCGCGGCAAGAGGTCCTTCAGAAGTGGCCCGTCCATGCTCGGCGCAGCAGCGACCGATGCTTTGAGTTTCGTGCTCTGCTGCAAGGTGAGGAAAAATACTGAGAGGGGCTGCGCCTGGCCCCAAAAGCACTTCCCGTTGGAGAGTGCGACCCTGCCTCACAGCCGGGCACGGGGCCTGAGCCAGCAGTGCGTGTCCCCTGGACGTCCATGTGAGCTGGGGGCAGTAGGATGGGCACAGGCTCTCCATGTGGGCGCTGCCAGGGAAGGAGCTGGTCTTCCTAACTGCCCTTCACGTGACAAAGACCGAGGGTCAGGACAGGTCACAGGGAGGAGAACAGGGCAGGCCCGGGCAGTGGGCTGAGGGCCCATGGGCAGCTCAGCAGGAAGGGCCAGACTGGCTGCTCCCACGCAGCTTCCTCAGTGCTTACCCCCGGGGGAGGAACCGCACCTGCCTGCCCCTCTGCCCCCGTCCGTCGCCCCGACTCCTGTTGGACACATGAGTCCCACCCAAGGCTAGACCCCCGAGGGGTGTGGGTGTCACAGTGCCTCAGGTCAATGCGGCCAGGCATCCCAATGCTGGCTTTCTAGCCAAACGTATTAGGGTCTCGGTCACCAGGAAGAAGGGAATTTTAAGAGGTGAAGAAGTATGAAGTGTGAGATGCAGGATGTCTCCTGACAAGGGGAAGGATGAACTAATCGGGGCATGGGCTAACCCAGCTGATTGCGTGTATAAATACGTACACGTAGGTTACGTAGGCATACACATAGAACCTGTGGTGCCTGTGACGTTTTTGATTTTAGCAGAACAGGTGGAAGGAAATGCCATCCACATAAAGGAAGACTGGTCCAGGTCTATTCCTCCAAAGCTTTGCAGGTGTCTGGGTGGGCTCCCAGAAGCACAAGCGCCCGCCCGTGTGCATACCACGCGCTCTGGCTGGTGCAGGTGTGGCCCTGGATGCTGCAGCCACCCAGCACCAGCCTGCCCCAAGCAGCCAGAGGCGGCTGTGAGAGCAACTCGTAGCAAACCTCATCCGTCAACAGGGCAATTATGTATTTCTAGCCCAGAGTTGGCAAGATTTAATCCATCTCATAAGCACATCCTATGACTTATGGTGCTCCGTCTAATACGTGCATCCCAAATGTTTCCAAGTATGTACGTAGTGAGATGGAATCATGTCATTTATTCTAGCAAGTTCTGATGGCACCAGAGTAGAAAAATTTTGATTGTTGATAATTACCAGAAGTTAAAAAATGTACCATCCTGTTAGTTAAAAAAACAGTATTTGAACTTGAGGATGAACAGTCATTTAAATAAAACCCCTTTTCTTACTGGGATATTTTCCAATGAACTCAGCTGCACCAGGAAACACATATTTTCAAAGCATCTCTGATATGAAGCCTCCATGAATGTGGCATTCAGACACATGGACAAACAGACGAGAAACGGACAAAGCCATCCCTGGGCAGATGTGTCCCTACAATCTTGGCTACTCGTGGGCACACTGGGTCCCAGCAGCTGCCACAGACGTGGCCCCGGACGTGGCCCCGTGCTGCTAAGAAATAAGCCAACACTACCGTGTACAGCAGAGTAGAGGCTTTTCCTTAAAACAGATTTTTTTTAAAAAAAGTTAAAAGAGAATTCGAAAAACTACTTGGCCCAAACACATCTCTCTGTCTCTGTCCCTGGTCGGAGTGGCTCAGCCCGAGCCCTCTCTTTTCTGCAAGGCCCTCTGGAGGGCCTCAGTCTCCCTGTCCGTGGAATGGGTGCATGAGTGAGGAGGTCCTGCTGTCCACGCGCCACGGGCTGCAGAGAGGGTGTGGTGCTGAGGGGACTCGGCTCACGTAGGCTCAAGCAACTTAGGAGGGGCCGCACCCACACCTGTGTGCAAGGGCCGCTGGTAGCCACTGGCCAGTGTGCAGCCCTAAGTGCTGGCCAGGGGCGTGGGGACCTGGCCCCTCCCGTGGACACAGAGCACAGACCACAGCCTGGGCAGCCCTCAGACCCAGGTCACCCCAGGAGCTCCTGACACATGCACATCCGGGACAGCAGAGGCCAGCCCGGGAGCAGAGGGGGATGGCTCTCAGCGAGGAGGCGGCCCTCTCTTCCTGTGACTGTAACCCCACCGCCAAATGACAGAAAAGCATCACCTTGTTCCGTTAGAAACTCAGACTGCTGGAGGTCTGAGAGAGCATAAAGATGGTGGACTGCTCGACAGAAAGGCACTGGTTCTTAGTCTGCAGTCCCAGAGGGGCCGAGGGGCCATGCGCGCCGCGAGACAAGTGGGGGCGGTTAGTGGACAGACAGGTGAGACAAGGGAAGGAGGAAGGAAGAGAGAAACAAGTTAAGGCGGTCCGAGCCCAGTCAATCGCAGGAACCTCCCTCGAGCATCCCGTCACTGTGAAGCAAACCAGGAGTGGGTCTCTGCCCAGAACAACCCGGCCCCCTGGGCGGAAACCCTCCTCGGACTCCTCCTTCCCCACACACCCCCTTCCCCGGATGCCCCGTTCCCCAGACGCCCCATTCCCTGCTTCGCAGGATGCCCCATTCCCTGGATGCCCCCTTTCCTGGACACCCCTTCCAGGACCCCCCCCTCCTGGATGCCTGCTCCCCTGGATGCCCCCCTCCCCGGGCGTCCCTCCTCCCCGGACACCCCCTCCTGGATGCCCCGTTCTCTGGATGCCCCCTCACTGGACGCCCCCTCCCAGAAGCCCGTATCCCTGGATGCCCCCTCCGGGACAACCCCTCCTGGAGGGCCTCTCCTCCTCACGGCCATCCACACTTGTCATAAGGCAGTGTCGCTCAAGAGCTCAGAGCACAGGCATCCACACACACTCCCGCGCTCTGCCAGGCTGACTACGAACACGTGGGCTCAAGCTGGGAACCACTAGGGAGGGATGGGGCGCTATGCCCGATGTTATAAACTAGACCGGGGCTTCAGAGGAAGTTCGCCCACCCTGGTCCCCTTCAATCCCTGAATCGGGTAGAGGAGGGGCACACGGCGCTGGGACCTCACTCACTGCAAATCCCGTGGGGGCCTAGCTCTTTCCCATCCCAGAGGCCGGCCAACTGCACTTGGAGGCTGAGTGCTGGGGCCATCTGAGCTTCCAGAGCTTTCCTCTGGCCCTAGAGGGCATGGATCATCCGCCCACCTGCAGGCCCACCTGTGCTCCACAGGGAAGACATGCACCTGCAGGGAGAGTCCTGCTCTGCCTTCTGCATACTTGGCAGGATCCTCCCTTCTCTTTATGAAGGCTCTGCACCTCCCCGAGATCTTGGGGTGAGGGGTGAGGGAGTGTGCCCTCCCTGAGAACACGAGCAGCCCAGAGTGGTTCTGGGAAGCTCCGAGTGACATCTGCTGCTGTTCGCCAGCCAGGGTGGGCATTCTGCACAGGTCACTTCTCTCCTGAACCCAGAACTCACTCGCCTGTTGGCCTCAGTGGGGATGGTGGAAAGCGTGGGACCCTAGTGCTCACCAGAATTCCCAGAGTCAGTGCCAGTGTTTTAGCCACATCCCCCACACCCGAGACTTGGGCAACTTGGCCTTCAAGGTAACAATTAATTTAAAACACTTTTTCAGATTCACAAAAGAAGAATTTGCCTTCCGAGCTGGCTGAGTTCTTGTCTGCCCATCTTTCTCTTATTTCGGCTGACTAGCTTCTGGGTCACCCTGCATCTCACCTGCGTTCATGCTTAAAATCCTCCGCGGCACTGTGAGGACTCATCACGTTGCCAAGCACAAACCTCTCCTGCTTTCCCTACAGTGACCACAGCGCCTGTTCTGGCTGGGCCCCAGGGCATGCACACAGCCCCCTTCCTTCCCCCATGGGCCCACCCCCGTGGCCCCGCCTGTACCTGGACTCTCTCTGTGGCGCTGGGCCACAGCTGCCTACACAGGACTTTCTTGAGAACGTCAGGAAGGAGGCTGACAGTGATGAGGAGGATGATGACCAGCCAGGCTGGGCCGCTGGACAACATCTGGATGAACACATAGTACATCCTTTGATAATTGAGGAATGGCCTAGAAAACAACAGATGGGCAGGTCGGTGGTCACCCAGGGGACGCCAAAACCCGGGCCCATCTTCTCTGCTCAGGAAGAGTGCACCTGTTCCCGGAGACTTTTACCACTGTCACCGACCCTCAGGGCACTTGGCCCATGTGCGATGACTACTCCTGAGCAGGGGGCGCAGGGCCGTAAGCAGTGGGGGAAGGAGGCAGGAATTCCACAAATCAGCCCAAAGACAGGGGAAGTCCTCTGGAGATTTCAGGACAGCACAAAATGACTTTAAAGCATGAAAATTGGTGATTTTTTTTTTTTTGTATCCCGGAATCATAACCTGAGCACTGGCTATTAACACGCAGAGGACGGCACAGGTTCTGATCAGCAGGGCTGGTTAACAACGTGGGATTCAGACTGTGAAAAAAGTCATTTTCCTATGAAAATAGCACAAATGGTCTCCCACCCAGGCAAACCTATAATTCAAGAAAATATCTAACCTAGGACCCATGAGAGGAGCTTGGAGGGACCAGTGGTGAACGCCAGGCCCAGGGGCTGGGCTCACAGGTTTTCAGGATGAACTGTGGGCCCTCGGGGGTCAAGGCTGGAAACCACCTAGCTCAGCACCTACAGGTCCCAGAGAGCATGCAGTGCACAGCGCTGGCACTAGAGGTCAGAGAAGCTCGGAGAGGTGGGGCGGGCAGCCCGCTGCGGGGAGACCACACAGGGGAAGGCATGTTTCTGGCCAGCATGCTCCATGGGCGGCACTCCCAGGTCCCAGATGCATCCCAGGAAACCCTCTGCCTCACAGGGAGGTGGGGTGCACACAGGAGAATTACAGAAAACGCAGTATGTGCTGTAATGGGAGCAGGGACGAAAGCTTAAGCAACCGGGTGACAAGGTGGGACTGCCCTGACTGCGCAGGGGCTCAAGGGAAGCCCAAGGAGGGCGCTGACGCATGGGGTTCTGAAGGATACATAAGAGCTCACAGGGTCGGCTAGTCTGAAAGGATGTCTGGGCAGAAGGAACAGCAACGAGCCAAGGTATGGCAATAAGAGCACCATGAGAGATGCCACACACAGCCACTCCACGCCCCTAACAGGGGCCACCAACCCAGCACCACGGGTTTATTGTCCTATTCACGTCTCACTCAGGTTTGTTTTTAACCTGGCAGCCACGGCAATCTCTCTACAGAGCACTGGGACTCGGCTGCCCCTCTGCTGAGTGTCCTGGGTGGTCTTTGGGCCAGCCCTGCTGGTGTTCCCATGACACCTGCTCATCACTGCCGCAGCACAGGAGGCTGGACTCAACACGCCAGACACACATATAACCTGGGACCCGCCCCGGGAGCAGCCAGGACACCCGAGATGAGCAGGCCGGCCCCCTCCCAGGCCCTGGGTTAAAGGTCTTCTCTGACCTGCAATCTAAAGGAGGTCCCTGGAGCCTGGGCACCCACCCTCCCACGTTCCAGCCTCATCACGTGCCACTCAGCGTTGCTCCCCCACAGAGAACGTGGGTCCAGGCAGCGGCCCTGGGCTGGCACCACGCCTTGCTGCAGGAACGAGGTCGTGCGGGATGCACGCTGGGGCTCTGGAAGCAAGCTCCGCAGGACTGTGAGTACCCCGAGCTCCTACCAGATAATCCCTCCCCAGAGGAGGGAGAAGACGATGTAGAACAGCAGCGACCCCCAGATGACAAAGTGGTTTATCCACGTCCAGTAGTGCGTGTCGAGCGCCAGCTGAAACACAGACATGGGTGGTGAGGTGGGCTGGAAGGAGCCGCGGTAGCAAGGACTGAAAGCCAAGGAGAAGAGAGGCAAACGGACAGACCACCCTGGCTCCCCAGCGGCCAAAGCGCCCACACAAACCTGCTGAGGAAGAAGGGAACCTGAGGTTCCCCAGGAGAGAAGGCACCGCCCACACATCCCAGGGACACGCCTGGAGCGTCTCCCACATGCGGAGAACCCAGTGGAGCAGCTACCTTGTCAGCTGCCGTCCCACCGAGGACGCACACTGAACACGGACCCTGGTTTGACTGTGACAAGACATGAATTCCCCCAATACGTTCACTATTTGTGTGTGTGTGTGTGGGGGGGGCTGCTCGCTGTTTAAAAGAATTTGAATCTGACTCGTTTCCAATAAAAAGCTCATTCCCTCATTTACCTTCTGTGTAATTCTAGTTCACAGAGCAGGTCGCCTGGTGTAGGGCTGGGGGGACCTTGCGGGGTGCGGACCTAGGGAGGGTGGGCCTGGGGTGTGTGGCTTGGGGGGGCTGCATCCTGAGGGGCTGTGGGCCTGGTGGTGTCCAGCCTGTGCCCAGTTGATGACAGACGGGGTGGCGCGCCCACAGTGGTTGGCTGGGCCGTAAGGAGGAATGTCTGTGGCAGGAACTCACCTTCAGTGTCACTGTAAATACCATCACGGTGAACACCAGCGTCCCAAACGTCCAGTTTCCAAAGATCTGTAGGGAAAAGAGTCCAGAGTCTCCACTTAATACACACAGTTCCCCCTGCACGTTTGAAACAGGACTGTCTCACCATGCTCCCGTGCCAGAAGCCCAGACCCCACACACACAGGGACCAAGTTTGTCACTGACAGAAGCCAGGGCCAGGCCAGCAGCTCAGGGAAGGGCTCAGGGCCTGTCCTGCTGGGCCCTGGATGCCGGCCCCTCCACACTCAACAGACAGCGTCTTAACAAGGCAGACGGCGGGGAGAGAGTCCCCAGGAGCTGGAGTGTTGTGCGCACAGGGCGGCTGCAGCTCTGCAGCCTTGTGTTCACTTGGGAGGGACACGGCCCCGCTCCCCGCTCTGCGCTCCTGCACGCTTCAGAGTGAATTCAGGAGGGCTGGCTACTGTCCTCCAAACTCAAACACCTGCCCGCCCTGAGAACCAACCACCAGCCGCTGGTTGGCGGGAGAGCATGACCACGTCATGGCCATGTCACCAACGGCAACACCGCCAGCCAGGATCACAGGGTGAGGGGAACTGGAGGCAGGCCGCAGGCGAGTGCTGGCCTCCAGCCCCCAGCCCCCAGGAGGACATGCCCACCTGCTGGGGGGGGTGCCGGGGGCAGCGAGACTCTGCGTGGCACCGCGAAGCTGCACTAGTAAAAACACAGGCTCAAACCACAAAAACAAGACATTTCTCAACTACAGACACAGACACAGAAAGCAAAATACTGACTTTCTCACTGGGGGAAAACCAGTCCTTGGGGGATTTTAGTCCACGGGAGCTATTCTCCTTGAAATTTCTGCAGAATCCCCTAAGCACAGCCTCCTCCTGGTGTACGGGGACCGTGCCTCTTAGAAAATGCACCTACGACTTCTTTGTAAGAAAGCAGCCCTAGTTCACAGAGAATTAAAAAGCTGGAACACCACGGCTTTGTGTGGTTAGATTTCAACACAGAACGAATCTACATATGGGTCCGGGGGCACAGTTACTGGGCCTCTGCACACATCCGGGAAGGCAGGAAGCTCCCTATAGGACCTTGAACTGCCGTGAGGACTTCCTGTGGCACACGGGCCCCCACAGACCCCCACTGACCCCTGTCCATCCCTGGGAGCAAAACGAGCTTCTGACACTGACACACGGGTGGCTTCCTGGAGGCGACTCTGCCTCTGGGGACACCCGCAAAGTCCCAAGATGGTGCTGGTGGCTGCACTGGGGAGGGAGTTCCTGGCATCTCGCGGGTGGGGCTGGGTCTGCTAACCGCCCAGGGCGGCCCCATGAAAGCCTGCAACTTTCCAGCCCTAACAGGCAGTAATGCCCAGGGAAGGAACTCTGGTCAGGAAGTGCTGTCTTGTCAATGTTAACTTTGGGGGCAGGAAAAATGTTAAACTCTGGGACCGGGTGCAGCTGGCAGCAGCCTATGAAAGTGCTCGCCCAGCAGGGTGTCAGGACACAACACTGCATTTGTTTTTGCTGGAAGCCGATGTTCGCAGACAAAAGGACAGGGTGAGCCACACCAGGTTGGGGCAGCCTGCAGCCCAGACCCCGAGTGGGCCTGTCACGGGGGCCTGGCAGGAGGCCTGTGGTCACCACCCAACATGGCAGGGAGCATGGAAACACTTCTGAAGCATCAGATGACAGCAAACTGCAGAAGCGTGAGGGTGCACAGCAGGGGCACAGGGGTGCACCAACAGTATCGTGAGTTGGCAGATCCGTAGACTTGGTGACTAGCAGACCCGGGGAGAGGTCTCCTGACGCCTCACCAGCAGCGCATGTGGGCCTCGGCTACAATGGTTACAGGCACGCAGCAGAAGCGCACAGCTGTGTCGACTCCAGAACGGAGAGGTTGCGAGCCCTGGTGCTGCCCTGGGCAGGCAGTTCCTGACCCGCTGGAGTTAGGCCCTAGCTCCACATTCGGTTGGAGGCCCAATGGAAATCACTGTGCTTAACTCTGGGAACAATCATCCCTTGAATGCAGCTATCCACTAGCCTCTCAAGGGCTCTCGAACCCAGCTCCACAGTAGGTTTGGGGGGGGGGGTCACAAAATGTACTGTACACCTTTCTGGAGGAAAGCGTTTCTGGAATGTACCTTTCAACTAGCTTCTCACGTAAGGGAGTTAGAACCTATTTTCTCAGCAGTGGTGGAGGCGCAAAGGGAAAGCAGTCTACTTATCTCTGCAAACACCCTCCTAATGTCTTTATTTGCTGCAGGTAGAAGGCTCACTGCTAGTATTACTGAAGTTGTTTACCATGATTTCTTTGGATTTGGGGGAGAGAGGTGGGAGGCAGGATGCCCCCCCCAAGTCAGCTGTCCCCCTCTGTGCTAGGGTGTCCAGAGGGTCTGCTCCCTGTGTGCCATCCGTCCCGCCCCAGGAGGAGGCCTGGCCTGGTGTCCTACGGGAGCACTCCCCTCCACACAGACTTCCAGGGACTTTCCAGCCTCCGTCAGGGACACGAACACCTAACAAGCACCCACGAGCCCCAGGTCCCCCCTCACTAGGCCTCTGTTCTCCAGGAGCATCTTGTAGGAAAGTGTTCTGCACACAAGAGCCCTCACACCCAACCAACTTCATTTTCACGTGTAAAAATATTCCACAACAGACATAACTGTGTTTTCTCAAGATCCCGGCCATAAAAATCCCGTCCATGCTCCCTTCACACAGACTCCCTACTTCTAGGGTGTGTGCGGTCACCATCTGGCCTCTGTGTCAGCTGACTTCTGTTACCACGCGTGCCAGCCCCGTCCAGAGCTGAACCTGCTGCTCCATGAGAGTGAGGAACGGTCTCAGTGCTCTCGTTTGCGGCAGCAGGAGAAATAACATTGGCTCTTGTGTCTGCGTAGAACATGTTCCTACCAAGAAGTGATGGATGAGCATCCCTTGACACCCCACGTGACCTACGAACACTCCTTCAGGATGATGTAGATCTCAAGGAGTCCTCACCTCCCCATGGTCGATAGGATGGGGCTTCTGAACCGCCATGCCCTGAAATGCTTCTGGCCAGGAAGGGTGGTTAGACAGAATGGACGGGCATTGACTCCTGCTGTGCATGCACCAGGGGCACCGTCAGCCGCCGGAGACTGGCCCGCAATGTACCCGGGTTACTACAGAGCCAGGCTACAGTGCCATCCTAGTTTTGTGGGCCATCTCACCTTAGCACCAAAGCCAATGAGAATGTAAGAAAACCATCCTGATGAGAAAGGCACCATGTGGAGTTGTGGGGGGCCCTGGAGTCAGAACAGCAGACATTTAACCTTGGCCTTTCCTTGCGTGGAGTGGCTTTGGGCTGCTCCAGCCTCTGGGGGCTCCTGTCCCCTCAGATACGGGAGGGAAATGTGCTCCCTCAAGACCGCGGGTGCTGTGGTTCCTCCTCACTCACTCTCACAGTGCTGGTTTTCAGGCTCTCCGCCATCTACTGTAGGAAACTTTGCCTCTCAAACGTGTGACTATGGGCAAACACCTCACATTACAGGCCCTACTTGGTACCAACTGGCCTGTGCACTGGGGCACAGTATTGCTGGGCTACTGAGCAGCCTGTGGTGGTAATGAGGATAAGCGCTGGGCCACAGGTCAGGGTTCAGGTGCCCTGCAGGCTCCAGGCATCCTATGGAAACAGGCCAGTCAGGAGGACAGCAGAAGGCACCCAGGAACAGGCAGGAACTCCTGCAAGGCACCACTGCCCCCTGACCCTCATCAGCATGAGGAGCAGCTGGAGGGGGCTTGGCCAGGAGCATGTCAGGGCTCCAGGGGTTTGAGCATGAGGAGGAGACACTGCCCAGGCCTCATGAGGGACCAGCACTGCAAGGCCACACCGTGCCTGCCATGGGCACGACCACGTCCAGGGTGCACAGGCACACACATATTTTCGTGCATATCCATTCCCACTGAAACTGTGTCCTAGGGATGCTCAGGAGGTACCGGTCACTTTGCTACGTTCTATTGAGACGGAGGCAACTAAGGAGCGGAATAAAATAGTTCCATCAATTTTACACAAAACCCCCGAGTTTGATTGCCCGAGAGTGTACAGTCCTTAATCTGTACAGTCCTTAATCTGTCTGAACTCAGGCCCAGGTGAGGAGCCTTTCGCGGTACTGACAGTTGACCTCGGTCTAGACGTCCCAGCTCTGGAGACACAAAATCTTAGTTCTTCCCAAGGTACATGCAGGACAGAAGTCCCGTGGATGCCCTGCAGGGGCACAGTCCCTGCCAGCGTCCAGGGGTTACCCAGGTGAACAAAGACAAAGAACGAATCCTAGAAAAATGTCAAGCTTAAAAAAAAAAAAAAAAAGTCAAGCTTTAAAAAAGTCCAATGAAATGTTTAAAACGTTTTCAAGATCAATTTAGGAAAAGTTGGGATCCCTGGGTGGCGCAGCGGTTTGGCGCCTGCCTTTGGCCCAGGGCGCGATCCTGGAGACCCGGGATCGAATCCCACGTCGGGCTCCCAGTGCATGGAGCCTGCTTCTCCCTCTGCCTGTGTCTCTGCCTCTCTCTCTCTCTCTCTCTCGTCTGTGTGTGTGTATAACTATCATAAATAAATAAAAAATTAAAAAAAAATTTAGGAAAAGTTGATTTAAGTTACAATGAAAGAGCAGCACCTTTTAGTAATGAGAGGAAAGAAAAAACTTGCCCCTTGCCAGTGAATAGTCCGCCCACCTGGCAGGGAGAGTGTGCTCCCGAGAGACAGAAGGAGGACTCAGTAGGAGGAGAGGCCCTCATGCGGCGCAGGGAGCTTCTACCCACAGATCACCTCCTGCACGCGCCAGCAGTGCTGGGTCAGCGCGGCTGCCAAACCCAGGCACCTGAGCATCCCCCATGTGCACCTGCTATTGCTGACCTGTGCCCAACACTTGGTGCTGCGTCTCCACTGGGCATCCCGTACCTGGGATGGTGCCTTGCATGGAAGTTTAAGGGACGTTTAAATATATCAAATCCACTTAAAAACCACCACTTCCTCGGCTGGCCAGCCTGACACAGAAACTGAGAGAAGAAACAGCAAATACAAAACCAGATGCAGACATACTCGTCTAATGCAGCGCTGGCCCCGCATGGGGGCCGGCGGCAGCCCACAGGTTTCTACCGACAAAGCACACAGAAGTCGCCACAAGTGAAAATATTTCGAGAAATATTTTATTTTCAATGCACTTCAAAACATAAAGGACAAACCCACAGTTTTCTTACCATGTGTGTGTTGGTGGTCATTATCTGAGAGTGGGGAGGGAGGCCAGTGGCAAAAAGACAAAAGCAAGATACGAATAAACAACCCCCAGAGATTATGCAAACGACCAGAGGGCTGACTGGCTATCAGCCAACTACAAATCTACTCCTTGCAAAGACAACAGATACTTAAGGTAAGTATGTAAAAAAAAAAGCTACAATGCGTTAAATATGAAATTAATTCCCATAAGAAATAGGCTATGCCAGAGTGATGCGCATAGCTGGAGGAGCAGCTAGTGGTAGACCGACTCCCACAAGCCTGTAGCTCTCAAGAGGGGTATTCCCTGGGGAGCAGAGCCACACAGAGCACAGCACTTACAGGTGCCCGCGGCCCCCAGGGGTAGACTCCCACATACCAGGCCGCACAGGCCCCCCTGCCCCGTGCCCGATGGGGACCTGGAGCAGCCCAGCCAACAAGATGTGGTTCCGCACTAACCTGTCCATTGCTGGTCACCGTCGTGTTTTCAAACATGAAATAAGCACCAAAGAAGAATACCAGAGCATCAAATACTCCTAAGAATGTCCAGTAAATGAACACGCGCCAGCGGAGTAGAGCGTTCTTAGCAATATCTCTGTGTAAGCAAATAGGTGAGATTGCAGGTCAGTAAAACCAAACCCCCAAGGTGACCAGGCCGTCTCCAGGCCCTGCAGTGACCATCTGTCCAGGAAAGTCCCTTTGGCCACTGTGCCACCCTAGGCTGCAGAGCCCACTGGCTCTGAAAGTGGGCAATGGAGAATCGGGCCTGTACCCAGGACCCAGGGTCTGTCCGCAGGGGGCCACCCTGCCTGTGCAGGTGTGGCTCCCTTCCTCTGCTTAATGCCCTCTGCACCTGCACTGGGGCTGGCCCTGATCTCATAGCCTTCTGGGGGAATCCCAGCAGGCTCCTCCCCATGCCATCGCATGGAATGTGTCCCCAAGTCACACACTGCATATGCTCTGGACGCCTACCCTATGGCCACCTGCTGGACACCCCTCGTCCCTTCACGCCATGCTCTGCCTGGCTCCACCAAGGCCTTGGGGCAGCCACGGTACAGAAGCAGAGCCAGAGGACAGTGAACAGAGCAAACATGCTACAGTGGCACAGGGACCACATGGACAACATCCCCATGGGATCAAAGGTGAAGGGCAGACAATGGGTTCGGTTCCCTCCCTCCACGGGGACACAGATGTGCCTAAGGCAGACAGACGCTCACATGTCTGCTTGTGAATGGATCAGGACACAAGGCCCATGGACCTTCCCGCGTCATGCAAACTGTGGGTGTCAGTCTCCTGGCATAGCTCCCGCTGCGACTCGTATAGCTGTTAGCCCACAGGAGGCCAACCCTGATGGTATACGGTGAGCTCCACGCTTGCTTTACTGCCCACCGCAATCATGGGGGGCTCCAGGGCTCCCAGACACAATGCCGCGGCCAACACTCTGACGAAGGCCATGACGCTGGCTAGCAGTCTGCAGTGTGTGGGTGCAGGACCCCCCCCCCCCCAGTAAGTGCTGGATGATACTGGTGCTCATGTCCGGGGGGCACCGCTCAACCCTCCGTGGGACACTGTCAGGCAGTAACCACCAGGGACACCGGGTAAGCGCTCACAGAATCTGTGCATTCTTAAAACTACACACGCATCTAACATTATCTGATATGAGGAATTTACTCTAAAAAGCCACAAAAACAGTTAACATACTGAATCTGCCAGCAATCTTGGAGTACACTCCAATACAGCAGAAAAACACTTTTTCCCAATTGTTAGAAAACACTTTTTGGCAAAAAAGAGCACTATGACATCAGATCTACTAACTTCCCTTTTTATCTCATGGAAGGGAATGTATTTGGCTTGAAAGGATAATGGAGGCTACAAACCACTGGAGTCACCGGGATGGAAGCTCTGATCCCAGGTCCTCCTCTAACTACTAAAAAGCCTGTTAGATACAAACTGGGTGACAGGCTCATTTCAAATCCTCGCTCTAAATTTGCAGTATATTTACTGAAGTCACATTGCTTCCCATGGAAGTGAGAGTACCAGCTGAAGGGGATGCTTCTGGGTTTGAGAGAACCAGAGCAGGGGTTTCTGTGCGGGAAGTGGTGTGCAGGGACCACTGGGCTTGTACCTGTAGAGGGAAGGGTCTCTCCTGAGCGTGTCTATGCTGACATGCTGTTCCATCAGGCTGTACAAGAGGATCGGGAGGGAAGTAAAGCTGATGTTGTACAGTGTCAGGTAGGCAGTGTCGTACAAAGTCTGCAGGAGGACAGAACCACGCTGAGAACCGCACTCTGCAGCCCTCAACAAACTCGTTTCACGTTTTGTTTAAACGTATACGTTAATTTACAAAGACCCAGAAACATGAGCATCTTAAAAATCATACAGTCCTCTTTCTGTAGCTATAGACAACAGGACGTTTTCAACCCTTCATGACGTCAACTGTGAGGGTTAGAGCCACAGTCCCACCATGAATCCCTCCCTCAGCCACTGCCAACTTGCAACAAACAAGGTTGCTGAAAAGTTTGCAATTTGGATGCCATCTTCAAGTGTCAATTATTCCCAGTCCCTACCCCGCAGGGGGGAGGGATCCTTGAGGGGCTGCTGCTCTCCTGGGACACGATGACCAGGCACTCAGGAGGGGGTCTCAGGTGCCGACTTGATCCTCTCGGTGAGGGGCAGAAAACCTGGGACAGCCCACATGTGCATGAGGCATGCGCCAGGCACCTTGCTGGGGGCCACGTGAACAAGCCTATTGGAGCCACTGGGCCCCCATGTTTGCTCCTGAGTTTGCCTGAGGATAGGCTGCACAGGGGTGTGAGGTGGAGGGCACTGCACCCCTGACCTGCTGCCCCCTGAAGCCTACACATCCCTGCAGGCTGCTCTCTTTATAGCCTACTCACCCCTGCAACCTGCTCCCCTTATATAGTCTACTCACCCCTGCAGGCTGCTCCCCTCTTAGCCTACTACTCCCTGCAACTTGTTCTCCTTATAACATACCCACCCCTGTAAGCTACTCCCCTTATAGCCTACCCACCCCTGGAACTTGCTCTCCGTATAGCCTACACATTCCTGCAGGCTTCTCCCCCTATAGCCTACTCATCCCTGCAGCCTGCTCCCCTTATAGCCTACTCACCCCTGCAGCCTGCTCCCCTTAGAGCCTACTCACCCCCTGCAGCCTGCTCCCCTTATAGCCTAATTATCCCTATAGCCTGCTCGCCCCTTCAAGCCACCCCAAAGGGAAGGGAGATAAGGCCCGGGAAGCTTCTGACTCCAGTCAGCAGGACTCACCTGTTGTGAAAATCCACAGAAGAACTGGTATAAAAACTGAGGGAAAATGAAGCAGACATTCTGAAAGGCAAGCCACATGCCAGTTAGTCCAAGAGTGCGCTGTGAGAGGTGTCTCCCCTCCTCAGCTGTCCCTGTAATACACCATAGCTGCAGGAAGTGACCCCAAAGTGCCCTGTTCTCAGAAGCGTGGGTGACAGGTTTTAAAGTCTGCTCCTGTTTTAATGGCACTACCAGGCACACTGCCTTGTGAGCGGATGGCGTCCAGGGACTTGGTGTGGCCTGAGCATGATCAATGAATCATCTCCAGGACTCACAGAAGAACTGCCTTCTCTCAATCACGTGATGATGGCGAGGTTCCTCCGGGCTCCCCACCGAATCTGTGCACAAGGCGGGCCATACCTCCTGTCTTGGGGGCAGCATGGCACCACCTCCGTCGGCCACTTGTGTCCCCTCCTGAGCTGCCCCTTGCGGCACTGTGTAGCGCTTAGCACACCACCTGCGGCCACAGCAGGGACACCCTCCTACCTTATAAAAGAAGTACTGCACGAGCTCAGATATCCGGATGTAATAGAAATGTCCGTGAACAAGCAGCATCTTCTTCAGGTGCTTAAATTTTGGGACTGCATAGTCGCTGTTCCTTGCAGCCTGACGACCCTCCTTCCCAATGACACCTGTGGGAGGAGACCCACTCTCAGCACTGGGAGGGAAAGCAGCCAGGAGCAGACAAGGCACCACCAACAAGGTGGCGGGTCCCGCCACTGCCTCCCCTCCCCACCTCATGGGCACCCAGGCGCAGATGGCTCACCAATGCCAACGTGCGCCTCCAGGATCATGCTGACGTCGTTGGCGCCATCACCAATGGCTAACGTGATGGGGTGCTCCTTTGAAAGTTTGATTAATTTAACAATCTGGAAAATAAAGAAACGTAGCATTTATCTTCTCTGTTCTCCATCTGCACAGATTATTCACTAACGAGAAAGAACACAGATGTCAAGTCAGTCAAGGAGAAAGGGACAGTGATCTGATTGGTGTGGCCCTCCTCCGTTCAAGCCGCTCTGCACACGGGATGGATCCTCTCATGCTGGAAGTACAACAGAGTCAAGAGAAGGCAGCTAGTGTGACTATAGGCAACGGACTGAGAAAGGCTGGTGAAACACGACATGAAGGAAGCAGCCGTCAGCTACCGCAGCACACACAGATTCAGCAGATGGTTGATAAACCTAGGGGAGCACCTGAACCGCACGTTTGGCTACCAGACACGCTATGTGGTGTTGAGCATCCATTGCTGAGCACTGAGCTACTTCTCCTGCTATTTTTTTTTCATTTATATATATATATATTTTTTTTTTTAAATTTTTAATTTATTTATGATAGTCACAGAGAGAGAGAGAGAGAGAGAGAGAGGCAGAGACATAGGCAGAGGGAGAAGCAGGCTCCATGCACCGGGAGCCCGATATGGGATTCGATCCCGGCTGTCCAGGATCGCGCCCTGAGCCAAAGGCAGGCGCCAAACCGCTGCGCCACCCAGGGATCCCTATATATATATTTTTTTAATTGAAGTTTGATTTGCCAACATATAGTAATAACATCCAGTGCTCATCCTGTCAAGTGCCCTCCTCAGCGCTCCTGCTTTTTTAATCCTCACACTTGCCACGTGTGCAAATCCTACCTGGCAATTTGATACAATTAATAATTTCAAATACGCATTTCTTTGCAAACTTTTTCTCCGTCTATGTGTCTAAGCGCCATGGTTCAGGGTGGAAGATGGAAAAGATGAGGAGTGGTGTGTGGACTGCCTGCTGCTTCGAGATGAGAGTCTGAAACGCTAATATGTGTAAACATTTGTGAAAGTCCATTAAAAACTGGAAAAAAAAAAAAGGACCATGGAACACACGGTAGAAGATAGAACATAAAGTCCTGAGTTGTCCTCCTGGACGTGGTGACATGAGATTTATGTGAAGTCGGACACAGAAGACAGGGCAGGGGGTGTGGGGGTGGGGCAGCCCCGCAGCCATGCTCCTGGGTCTCATGGGTGCCCATCGGGGGTGGGTCCTGGTACCTCTAGAGGCTCTGCTGTGCCACATACACGTGGTGTGCTACAAATGCTAGAAATGAGCTCTTCACATGTAGTTTTCAGTGTTTTACCCCAACCCTTGGTCCCTTGGTCAGCTGAGAAGTGACAGATTTCTTTCATAAACAGTTGAAAGAGCAATTGATCTAAAATGTGGCTGGACAAAGGGAGACATACTATAGGTTTACTGACACCAGTAGGACCCCGTGCTTACATGTGTCTTCTATAACACTTTATAAAATACCGAAAAGAAACATGTCTTCCGTGTGTCCCCAGTGGACCATGTGGTGGTAGGAGAACAGGAGTCTGGAGTCCTACAGGCCAGAAGCCATGCTGGGACTGGAGTTTCCAAGCACATCCTGCAGACAAGTGGCCCCAATTTTCTGGGTCTTACTCTTCTCTGTACAATTAGCATGACATCACTCATACAGCAGAATCCTTCCATAGGTCGAGTGGGTTAACTGTATCTGACTCCCTAACAACAGCAGGTACCTAATAAGCAGTTGCACCCTTCCGTCTTTCTGACAGATTTTCCTACAGATGCTTATAGATGAGGTTATACCTCTGTGATGTGGTTTTATTTCACAAGAGTCACACAGGGCCAGGCTTCCCAGCCCCCACTGGGACGATTGTCCACGTGATTCAGAGAACTCTTAACTAACCACAACCAGCCAAGTAAGATCCATGTTTAATGCCTGCCATTCCCGCTTCTAGTTTTAAAAGGTGGTGCCTTGCTGGATTTAAAAAAGAGAAAAGTAGAGGCTGTCAGAACTACGCCAAGGCTCTGGGTGTCCACCCATCCCAGGGCCTGTGGAGGCCGGGGCAGGCCTGACCTGAGCCTTCTGCAGGGGTGCCATGCGGCAGCAGAGCACAGCGCTGCAGTTTCGGCAGATCTCCAGGAACAGCTCTCGGTAGTTGCCACAGCTTCCGTCCTCTCGGGGCTTCATGATCAGAGACAGCGCAGCTCCATCAATGATCAAGCCATAGTCTTGCATGTCTGCAGACAGTCTGTTTAGTTACACAAACCAGAGAGGTTACTCAGTAGCTAAGTCCACAGACTTCAAAAGACTATGCAATTTTTTGGGATGTCTACAGATGCTATAGATTGATGATCAGGGAATTAAGAAACTGGGGTTCTTGCTTTATCAATATAGTCTTTAGAGCACTGGATGTAACACCCTCTACCACACTTTAAATTGAGTCCTATTTTTTATTTTTTAAAGATTTTATTTATTATTCACGAGACACAGAGAGAGAAGCAGAGACATAGGCAGAGGGAGAAGCATGCTCCCCGTGGGGAGCCCGATGCTGGACTCGATCCCAGGCCCCCGGGATCATGCCCTGAGCCAAAGGCAGATGCTCAACCACTAAGCCACCCAGGCGTCCCTAAATGGAGGGTTTTTTTTTTTTTAAAGATTTTATTTATTTATTCATGAGACACACACACAGAGAGGCAGAGACATAGGCAGAGGGAGACCCATGCAGGACTTGATCCCCAGAACCCGGGAGCATGCCCTGAACTGAAGGCAGATGCTCAACTGCTGAGCCACCCAGGCATCCCCCGAAACTGAGTTTTAACAACACAATGTCATGCCACCGAAGCAGAGCAAACACAGTTCTAGTGGTTTTGTGTGCAGATTTTAGTACTTCTCCACAACAGATGGGGAACATGTGCCTGCGGCCTGTAGAGCTGTCTTTACTTGTGAAGCCTGGCCACGGTAACCAGCCTCGGGCTGCAGGCTTGCAGCTAACCTTCATGGGGCATCCTGCTGGAGGGCGTGAGTTGGAAGGAGTGCGGTCAGCATATACCTTTTTGCTGGGTTTCAAAATTACAAGATCATCTCTAATCCCCCAGAGGAATCCTGCAGATCGATGAAGGGAAGCATCTCCCACTCCTTATGAATAATCTAACATTTGCATAGGATGAGAGAGCTGCTTTTGCTTTACTACATTAATGAAAACCTAAAATGATTTCCATGAAATCTTAACCTCAGATCATGCATCTGATACCAGCAAGGACAGCATCGATAAAATGTGAGAAAACTGCTGAATGTTCTTGGGAAAAACAATCACGGGCATATCCGGCTCGGTCTCAACAGAGAAATAATCACGCATTATTAATATTTCTGACACTGACAGACACCCAGAGGAATCCGCAATACAGCCCTTGAGTGCCTCATCAGCCAATGAGAACGATCCCAACCCTAGTATTTTATTAATCAGTCAAGCCTGCACCCATAAGCAGCAGTTTAAAAGTGAACACACACACACATCTTATGCAAGACACATCACACTTGCTGCAAAGACATGACTCTGGCCCAATTCCGTGGTTCACTGCAGACACACTGATGCCGTGGGGACCCCCGGGGACAGACCAGGCTGCCCGCAGGGGTGCTGAAGGCACACAGCCCTTCTGTGGTGGGATGGGGGCACTGCCTACCCTGAGAAGTTGTCCCTTGTCAAGCTCCCGCTATGGCGCAGGACAGTCTTGCTCAGCTCAAACAGGACGTCGTGTAGACTCTGCTCCTCAATTTTCTTCGTGGTGAGTTCAAGCAGCTGTGTGTTCCTCCTAAACAGCTTGCAGGCATAGCAGGTGGCAGCTGCTGTTTCCATCTTGTCCCCAGTGAGAACCCAGACCTTGATCCCAGCCTTCTGCAGAGCTTCTATGGTGTCAGCAGCTTTCTCCTGGAGCCTGAGCAGAGCAGAAATGAGACACACAATCCTGGGTGTGACACAGGTGAATCAAAGCAAAGAATCTCAAAAATTTGTGAGCTATGAAATTGTTTCTGTTCCCTCAAACTAAAAATCACCATGCCACTACCTCGCAATCTTACCATGAAGCACCTGGAGTTTTTATGGTTACATGTTAACTGTTCACAGGAGAGCACTTCCTTACAGGAAAACGTGTAATAGTAAGAAGTGTCTGTTTTGCATACTCGACACCTGGTGAGCACGCTTGCTCTGTCTAGCTGGGACCCCTGACTTGTGGAGGATTTTAAGTAACCACAGGAGCGACCACAAACCGTCTTAACCAGGGAAAGATGGGATCGGGAAAACAGGTGATCTGTAGTACTCGCTGTACTTTCGTTTGCATGAACTGCTGTAATCTGACACTTACAGACTGGAGCCCAGGCACCTCTAAATCAGGTAAGATACGGGACAGCCAGCTGTGTTCCACCACCTGCCGACACAGACCCTGGGCTCTCCACACGTGTAATGCTGGGAAGCACTCTGCCTCCACCGAAGGTCGTGGGATGAGGCTCCATCGGCAACCCCATTTGAGGTATGGGAAACCCAGATGGTGGGCATGCAGCAGCACGCACACGGACGAGCAGTTCACACACTGCTCAGGTTGCCTTGCTGTGTGTGGAGGCCTTGTATCAAAGCCACGTCTGCCTCATGTGGGACTTACATTCTCTCCAGACTTTACAGTCCTGGCTTTTGGCAGTCCTGCCATAGTGTGCCATGCTTCTGTCTGGTACTGGCGGGTTCAGGTCCTAACTGGGGCGACCCAATGAGACTTGGGGTGGGCCTCTTCAGTATAGCCCCAAGCCCATGACCTCGGCATTCGAGAGACACAGAAAACATCTCAATTTCATCTACTTTCCACTTTTCTGAAACCTGGGCCAGAAAGGTCAGTCTGCAGAAATGTTCTGGGGTTTCAGGAAAATGATCTGTGACCGAGTATTATCACTTCAAAGCTGCTGGCTCCCACCTGCCCCAGGCCACTTCTGTTTTCGAGGTCTTGACTTCCCTCTGAGTGGATCTGCTCCCTCAACCCTCAGGAGGGTGTACGGGCACAGCTCCCCCGATTAGACCTTCCCCTCCCTGCACCTCCTTCGAGGACAGTCTCCAGGCAAATGCACCACATGTCCCTCTCTAGGTCCCCTGACCAGGGGACCCTCAGTGGCCATGGCTTCGCAGTCTGAGGCCCTTCCCGAGTGCAAGCTATGCTTCCTGTGTTGGCACCTGGGCCCCCATCTGGCCGAAGTGACAGGACTTTCTAGACACAGCAGTGTCAGACATGTCACCCGACACCCTATCGAGGTTGGGAAGCCAAAGACTGGTCATTAAAGACACTGGGAAGTGTGGGTTTCCAGTAAGGACTTAACAGTCAGGTTCATTTATACCTTAAAGACTCTGAAACTTTACAGAAATAAACCTTTAGGGATCCCTGGGTGGCGCAGCAGTTTGGCGCCTGCCTTTGGCCCAGGGCGCGATCCTGGAGCCCCGGGATCGAATCCCACATCGGGCTCCCGGTGCATGGAGCCTGCTTCTCCCTCTGCCTGTGTCTCTGCCTCTCTCTCTTTCTCTCTCTGTGACTATCATAAATAAATAAAAATTAAAAAAAAATTAAAAAAAAAGGAAATAAACCTTTAGCAAATGCCCTCAAGTGTCTGCTTCATTCTATTAAATGGGGGTATTTTTTCTTTTCCTTTCTCTCCATGCTCTCAAGTCACAAGAATGACATGCACCCGTGTGTTAGTGCACGAGGCCTGAACTCACTTCCAGCCTCCACACATAATGGTGGCAGGTGAGCGGCTGTGGCTTCGGAGCACAGGAGACACACATTTGGTAATGTTACCAGTCATTAGTCATAGTTTCTGCGATATTCTACTTCACAGTTTTAAGTTTCTTCAACAAGAAATGACACTGAGTACGTTCACATCGAAAATGTCATGCATGAACTTAGGGCTGCTGACAAATTTTAGGAGCAGAATCAATTCTTGACTGAATGATAAAGAATGGTTTATGAATGACTGTTTCTTGACTACTGATGACACGTTATGAACGAGACAACCATATGGTCCTGATTTACGGCAGTAAAACACAGTCCAGGCACGACCTTGGGGGACACCACCCTGAGGCCTGTCGTGTCCTGCTGCAGATGCACATCCACGTGAGGACATGAGATGTGGCAGTCAGTCCCACTGCACCCCGCAGGCCCCGCCGCCTCAGCACCACCACTGCTGGCCTTGATGGGGCACGGCGCAGACTCTACCTGTCCTCGACAGCCGTGGCACCCAGCAGAACAAGGTCTTTCTCTATTTGTTCATAGGCCTCTGCTAGCTTCTTTTCTCGATCTTGAAGTGCCACTTTGGCAGCCTGCAGCAGCGTACAAATGCCTTCATATTCTTCCGGATTGAGCCTTTTGTAGGCAACACACAAGGTTCGAAGCCCCTCCTGCGGGAGATAGCGCAGCGTTTAACATAAATCCAAGTGTCACTCCCCTGGAATTTTATGTCATGAGCTTTCTCAATATCCCCTCTCTTTCATCCAAACTGACTGCAGAATTAACAGGCAACAACCCTTAAAGGATTGCCATTATATCTGAATTATTTATATGCACATTAAATATACAATCATTATAGATTACTAAATTCCAAACAGGTAAGCATAGCAATAATACAAATCAGGGCTGTGAAAATATAAGACTTTGTTCTTTTATTTTGACAAATGAAGGGTTAAATTTTTCTTAGGACAATATTTAGAAATTTCACTGTAAATATCAAGTGATGTTTCTAAAGTAACATTTTTTACGTGGGAAGTCTGTGATCTTAGCACCCACCAAAGAAAAGCTGCTCAGTTATTTATCAAACATACTGCGTCCACAGGACAGAGAAATAAGGATCCAGCAACAGTGGATTCACTGCGACTGTAACTCTGGATGTCACCATGCAGAGCACACGCCCCCCAGCAAGGCGCCATTGAGCTCGAGGGCCGCACATGAAGCACTTAATTCCATCAGTCAAAGTGCCCTTCCTGTCTGGATGAGGCAAACCATCTAAACCATCACAAAGGTCTGAGTGATGCTCTAAGGATGACCTCCCCTCTGTCTCAGCCCTGACTCAACTAATCCTAGGAAAAGAGCCGGAGTCCTCCTATGCAATCAGTCCAAATTCTGGGAGGATACTGGTGTGTAGTTTTCTTTTTTAAGATTTTCTTGTATGTGAGTTCAAATTTCCTGTAACTGCCCAGAGAAAGCTTCACATGTTTTGCTATTTCTCAGACCTCCAGATGTGGCTGAAGGATGCAGTCACAGAGGTGAATGTCTCCTACTGTCCTTGAAGCTCTTCAAAGAGTTGGTGGGAAGGGAAGCAGAGCTTTCAGAAGTGAAAAAAAAAAAAAACTTGTTTTTAAAAATAGGTATGGGACTTCCACTTGTGGAGTCAGGGAGTAGAAATACTTTTCCTGATTCCTCCTGCTAAGTGCTACCCAAACCCTAGATGTTGTATATGAGACCACACTACACCAACAAAGCCACGGACACTACAAGAAAAGAAAATTAAAGAGCAATATCCTTCCCAAAAAATGCAGATGAAAAGCCCTCAAGTAAGTTGAGTGCAAGAGCACACCTAAAGGATTATGCAGCACGACCAAGTGGATTTACCCCAAGGAGGCAAGGAGGACTCAGCCCAGGAAAATCAGTCCCTGAGACACAGGAGAGAATGACCAAGCCCCACACAATCATCTCAAGTGATGTAGAAGAAGCATCTGATAAAATCCGACACTGTTTCATGAAAAAAAAAAAACACTCAATAACCCGGAATAGAAGGGAATGTCTGCACGACCACAGAGGCATTAATGAGAGCCCTGCAGCTGGCGTCAGCCTGTGAAATGCTAAAAGACAGAAAGCTCTGGCCCTGACTCAGGAATGAGATAAGGATGACCAGGTTGGTCACATCTGTTCAGCACAGCACTGGAACTCCTACCAAGGCACCTAAGCAGGAAAAAAAAGCATCCAGATAAGTAAAGGATGCCACCTCTGTTCACAGACATGGTCTTACACATAGAAAACCCTGAGATTCCACAGAAAACCACTGGAACTGATAAAGTCGGTAAGTGGTTGAAATACAAATTCAATATTCAAAAATCAGTCGTGTTCAAGAGGTAAAAGATGTGTAGACTGGAAGCTGCAACGTGTTCCCAGAAGACGTTACACGAGACCAGGGAAGTGGAGAGGCCCCCAAGTCCACGGGCTGAAGACATCTTGGTCCTCAAGACACCACCCGAAGTGGTCCAGGGTCGGTGCAACCCAGGAAAGCCCGACGGCAAGTGCATCCTAATGTTGATGTGGAATCTCAAAGTTCTGATAATAGCCAAGAGTTTCGTAGAAGGACAACAAAAGTGAAACACCCATACTTCCTGATTCCAAACCTCCCTGGAAAGGGACAGAAATCAAAACTGTGTTACTGCGTGAAGACAACAGAGACAATGGCCTGGCCACCTCCTGTGCAGGGTCAGGGGATTTTGGCAGTGTGCCAGAACCGTTCAAAAAAGTGGTGCTGGGAAAACTGGACATCCACCCACGAAGATTGAGGCTGGACCCCTCCTCACACCACTTATAAAAGTAACTCAAATGGACCACAGGCCCGAAGGTAAGAGCTGATGTTGTCAAACTCTTAGAAAAAAGCACAGGAAAATCTTCCTGATCCTGGGTTTGGCAATGGTTTTACAAATGTAACAGTAAAAGCAGAGGTAACAAAAGAAATGAGAGATAAACTGGGCTTGATTAAAATTTTAGAATTTCTGCATCAAAGGACACTATCAAGAGAGTGAGGCCACAGCCAATAGAATGGGAGAAAATGGTCACAAATCACATTCTTGTTAAGGTGTTAGGATTCAGAATATATAAAGAGCTCCTACCATTCAACAAGAAAAAAATAAACAGCCCAATTTAAAGTGGGCAAAGGATCTGAATACACATTTCTGCAAAGACCTCCCAGTGGTCAGGAAGCACCAGAAAATGTGCTCAGCAGCTGTGGCCATTAAGAGAATGCAAATCACCACCATAATGAGATGCCACTGCACACCCAGTACGAGGACTATAAAACCATGGAAACTAATGCACATCAGTGAGGATGCAGAGAAGCTGACACCCTCATGCATATCTGGCATGAATGTGAAATAGTGCAGCTCCTGTAGGAAACAGTCTGGCAGATCGTCAAGGGTCCCTGCGTGACTTGGCAATTCCATCCCCAGGTGCACGACCACAGAACTGAAAGCGGGGTCCCAAACAGGCTTCCTACAAGCACTATTCCTAGCTACCAAAATGTGGAGACAAGCAGTGTGTGCATCAACAGACAGATGGACAAGATGTGGCCCATGCAGCGAATCCATCCCAAGGAGTATTATTGCACTGGAAAGGGCATGAAGCTTGGGTACAGCTACACCTGGATGAGCCTGGAGGACATTCTGTGAGGTGAGAGAAGGTGGCCACGTGAGCACAAATATCGTATCATCCCACATACAAGAGATACCCAAGACGGCTAGGTGTGTGGGGACAGAAGGGAGACCAGAGGTTGGCGGGTCCAGGCAGAGCGGGGAAGGGGAAGACTTTGCTTCATGGTACAGTTTCTGTTTGTGACAGAAACTTGGCAACAGAGAGTTGTGATGGCTGGAGGACGAATGTAGTTGATGCCAATGATTTACACACTAATGATGGCCACCAGGCAAATTATGTGTATTTACAACAACAAAAAATGGATCGCAGACTTAAAGGTAAAACATAAGGGAAGATAGAAGAGAGCACTCAGTACCCAATGGCGATAAAGAGTCTAGGTGTGACTCCATCGCAGGATGCACGAGGGAAAATGCACAAGACAGACATCCTTGGAATTAAAACCATTTGCTCTGCAAAGTGCCCTGTGGAGAGGATGAAAGCAGCAGCAGAAATGAAAGAACCTATTTGCAAATCACAGATATGATGAAGGGTTCACATCTTAAACATCTAGAGAACTCTCAAAACTCAACCTAAAAACCAAACCAAAAATCTCACCATTGTCTTAGAAAGTTGGCAAAACACAAGTAGGGACGAGTTGCCGATGGCACCAGAGCACACAAGAGCTCACTGGGGCCAGTGGCCTGGGCAGGCTCAGCCACCACCTGCCTGTCAGCGGCACTGGCTATAGACACCAGAAAATGGGTGGGAGTTTCTTAAAAAAACTCAGTGCCAGTTACATCATGCTCTTGGGCGTTCACCCCAGAGAAACAAGACCGTATGTCCACAGAACCGGGATACAGGTTTCACGCAGGTTTATTCCTGACGGCTTCAAGGTGGAAACAACCCTAACGGTCATGGGGGAGGATACAAAGCACCATCTGCACGATCTTTACAACTTCCTGAAATTCCACGATCATCTTAACGTCGAGACCCAAACCCAGTGACCCTATAGGTGCCCCTGCTCAGACCTGGAGTTGGGGTTTCCTGGCAGCCCCTTGGCATCTCCAGAGGGCCAGTGGGCATTTGAAGGGTTCCCCAGCCTGGGAACAAGCCATCAGGAGGTAGAGGGGACGGTGCTGTCCCAGAAGCCAGGCTACAGACCTCATGGCTCACAGGGCCTTCTCTAGACTGAGGAGGAACTCGCTCCCCCGAGTGATACCCTGGACTCACCTGACATGTCCTAAAGCCACCATCCAAACAGGACAAACTGGTGCCTGATGGGAACACAGGGTGACCCCGAGCCCAGCAAGGCAGATTCCACGGGCCAGTCTAGTCAAAGTCCCCCAGCAGGCAGAGGGCAGAGAGCATCACCCATCGCAAGGACACTAACCACCTAGTTCCAAGGGCAGAACGAGCAGAGAAACAAAAAAAGCAACCACATCGTGTCACATACATCCTGAAGTTCTTTTTTTTTTTTTAAAGATTTTATTTATTCATTCATGAGAGACAGAGAGAGAGAGAGAGAGGAGGCAGAGACACTGGCAGAGGGAGAAGCAGGTTCCATGCAGGGAGCCCAACGTGGGATTCGATCTGGGTCTCCAGGATCACGCCCTGGGCTGAAGGCAGGTGCTCAACCGCTGAGCCACCCAGGGATCCCACGTCCTGAAGTTAAATACAGACATGCAGGTGACAGAAAGTCCTGGTGTCTGGGGTGGATATCCCAACCCCAGGGCTGCTGGCTGACGAGATACAGCACGTGAGAGGCATGGGCGTGGAGACGGGGTGGCAGAAGGTACCCAGAATGAAACAGAAGACGTTTTCAAAAGAAAAGACCCAGGGAGCCTGGCAACGATGTAAAGCATGCAATCCCACACGGTTGCAGTTCCTGAAATGTAGGTGCTGAAAACACATCTGAAGACATACCAGCTGAGAAACTTCCCAGCTTGATTAAGAACCACAGACCCCCAGACCCAAGAGGCTTGAGCAGCCTGAGGCGATGTGAAGCAGCCGCGCCAGAGCCCGCCATCGCCGCCAGCCCAACACAGCCACAAAAGACGGCCACGGGATGCAGACAGAGAACATGTCCACCCTGACAGTGGCCCCTCCAGTGAAAGGAAATGCCGGTCCATGCAGCACACACGCAGCTGCTTCTGTAATGGCCTCACAGGTGGACAGGCCACATGCGTGTCAAGAGAGGCCTTCCTGCATCCTGTCGCCGCGCAGCCAGGGAGGGCAGTGGGCACACAGGAGCCGCAGGACAGAGCACCTGTGCCGAGCCGTCTGACAGGTCCTGGCGAGAAGCTCCAGCACTGCCACGGGGCACTGTGGGTCCTGGAGCCACGCGGGAGGAGGTCACAAGATGCGGCGGCAGATTGCCTGGTGCGACCTTTAGCGCCAGATGTGAGGTTATTACAGAGTGTGGAGAGGAGAGTTTAAGGCCAGTTGTGATCGTCAGGGGCCTCAAGGACCAGGAAGTTGTGCTGCCAGCACGCAGTGCACAGGAGCAGGCACCAGGAAACGCTGTCTCAAAGTCAGCGTGCTTCTCAGGTGCACCCAGCAGCTGTTCTCATGGAACACACAGAGTCCTGGGGTGGACACTGTGGTCCCCTGAGGGAAGGGGAGGGGTGGACAAAGGACCCCAGAGGGGCGGGGAGCATCCTCTCAGCATCCTGGGCACAGACCCTGGAGTTTGGGCAGTGGCCTGGGTCTCTGTGGACCACAGATAGGCCCAGACCTGTTCAACAGCTGGGGTCGTCTGAGCATGGTCGGTATTCTAGCCTCTGTCACAGGAGCCAGGCCACCTGTCATTTCAGACCCAGTGCCAGAGTGACTCGCAGATGGCGCTGCCCACCCCCCCGGAGTAACCTGGCACACCTGTGTTGACACTCAAAACCCAGAGATGGCTGCACCTGCGTGTGTGCCCTCACGGCACTTCACAGAAGCCCTCCATTCGCGAATAGAACCCTTGTCTCCGTGGGCAGTGGGTTGAGTGACCGTGACTGTCCTGTACACCAAGGCTCAATCATCTCCAATGTGCACATCCTTAAGGGTCCCTGCTGGTTCAGGGCAGCTCCTTACCTGGCCAGCAGGTGTCAGTGGGCACCCACACACCCCACCAGGTCTAAGTGTGTAGCGGCTGCCGTGGGCAGGAATGGCCCGAACAGCCTGATGCAAGGTGGATGATTCCTGACCCATATTCCGAGATTTCTGTGGCCAAACCCTCCTTGGTTTATAACGACCGTTACACATTAAATCCTGTGGTTCGCAGCAGTAGGACAAGGCTGTGAGGAGCCACAGTCCCTGGCTTCGGGTCTGGTGTGGAGAGCAGGATGGTCTCGAGTCAGACAGGCACATGCCCTCCTGCACCAGAGGCAGGGGAGGTGCCAGTGGATGAGGCTGGGGGCTCAGGCAAACTGGCGAACCACACACACTGCGGGACATGTGGGACAGGTGGAGTGGTGCCCTTAAGAACGGGAGTGCAGGGAGCAACGCTGGGTATGTCACCATGGAAAGGGACTTCACTGTGTTGACGAGAATCACCAGAAATCCTCAGGACTCCCCACAATCCCCACAGACCTGCTTATAATCCTGATCCCTAACCACCAGCCTAGCCACCAGGTTAGCCCCCAACGATGGAAGCACACGCAGCCAGAGCATTGACGGGTTTCCATTCCACGTGTGGCCTTCAGAGTACGTCCCTCAGGGGACAGAAAAGGACGCTGGTAGCCAGGCTGCCCCCACCCGGCCCCCCAGCTGGGATGTGTATGCCGCCCCCGCCAGCCTCATCTCACCACCGCGTTGCGCTCCACTCTGGCCCGGATCTGGTCCACTTTGCCTTCTATCACTCGGGGAAATATCGAAGAATCTGCTCCTTTGCAGAACAGATAGATTTCTCCTATAAAACAAAGGGAAAAATGATGTTTGATCATATGTGGGGAAGACGAGTTTACTTTTCACGTTATGCTTTTATAAAGAAACAAAAATAGGAATGCCAGTATTGAGACCATCGTAGAGATTTCCTGAGACCAGTTACCATGTTCAGTCAGGAGAATGTTGTATCTTTATTCCCACAGCCTCAGACCTCACAGTTCAGCACCAGGGAGACCGGTCACCACTGCCGCTGTGTGGCTGGCCCGGGCCAGGTGGACACGGGGGCATGACCGGCCCATGATGGGCCTCCTACGCTGACAACCTGCAGTGAGCATCTGGCTGTCCTTCATGCTAACAAGATGCACAGGAAACCTGTTGTGAAATGTCCTCAATCACATCCCAGCAGCTTCACAGGTGCTCGTCCTGCAGACATATGCTTCCCTGTCCTCAAGATAAACCGATTTTCTCTTTCAGATAAGCAGGGAACTCCAGTATGAGATGGAGAGCAGACCAAGGACACAGAAGAGGCCAGCTCTAGTCAACAGGCCCCTGCAGGTGGAGCGCCCTTCTCCAGCCACCGAAAGCCACGAAGCACGTCACCTGGCCGGCTTCGTTTGTCGGTGGCTCCTGGAAGCACTGTGGGGTTGGTCCATCAGAGCAGCGGTGGCCACAACCGGGCATAAGCCCAGATGCTGAGCTCCTGGCCTGGTGCAGATTCCTGGAATCCCTAGATGTTGGCAGCCCTCAGAAGGTGCATGGGGGAAACCAGGTCCAAGGGCACTGGGGGGAGCAGGCGACTGTCCTACCACAGCCATGGTGCCAGGTGGGCGGGCAGGGAAGGGCCACACCCGGGGCGATGACTACCAAGACCGCTGGGCTGGACAAAGGTGCCCGAGCTGAGCGACAGTATCCCGAGCCCATCCACGTTATTCCCCTGATCCCAGAAGGGACTCACTCTGGGGGCACATGCAGAACATCTCAACAGCACAATTCCTGCTCACAAAGTCCTGAGACCAGACTGAGGCTCAGGTCAACCTGTGTCAGAAAGGATGGTGGCTAGTAACTTTCGAGCGCCAGCACACAGAGCCAGCCTGGAGCCCTTCAGGGCAGGGAGCCAAATCCCCAGGGCACACTCGCCAACTGTGTGGGCCTGGGGCCCAGGTTCTTGTCACGAGCCACGGAGAATGGGGCCTTGGGCTGGCCTCACAACCAGCCTGGGTGCAGAGCCCATTCCTGACTCCAGACCTAATCTCTTCAGACACAGTTTACAGCAAGAAAGGCAGTCAAGACGATGTCAGGATGTGTTCTCCAACACGTTTTTCTGGTTGAGCCAGCATGTGTTGTGTCCTGGGAAGCCTGTGGCTCTGCAGGGGAGCTCTCAGGACAGGCAGACGTCTCCCCATGGAAGGGGCCCTGGAATGGCATGGCTGCCGTGGACAGATTCTTAGCATGACCCAGCTCCTTCTCAGGCTCCGTGTCGCCCTTCTGAAGGATGGTGGCAGCTGTTTATGAGGGGTCCTCAGAGCCTCCCTGGCCGCAGCTGCAGGTGCCCTGCTCAGGAGGTGGCACAGGTGGGGCAGGTGAGTCACGGCTGCCTCACTTCCTATGGTGGGGTCATTCCTGCGGCTCGGGACCAGTCTCCCAGACATGACTCACCTGCCCGTGCATCCCTGTGGGGAGGTCACATTCCACTTCCATGTCTTACTTCCGGGCCATTCTGAGTGGCTTCAATCCTGGGGAGGGCACCTGGACTGCATGGTGGAGCTGCCCACGCTGGCACACCCGAGCGTGTTTTTCAATATCATGGGTGAATGTTTCCCATGTCCTGCTGACCTCCCAAGGCAGAATGTCTCCACATGTTACAGGCAGCACTTATATTACAGTGTTTTATGTCCTGAGACACTCAGATGGAGCCTCTCTAGCTGACAACAGGCTCAGGGGCGTGGGGACCATGCAGGGCAGCATCCCTGCTGCCACATGCGTCCCACATGCGTCCCAGGCTCATCGACCAGCACTCCAGAGGGTGACTCACAGTCTTCTGTTTGAAGACATGCCCCACAACCCCGCACCATCCCCTGTGGCCTGAGGAGGAGGACAAGCTGCTGCCGGTCCTGCCAGAAGACAGCCACCAGGGCAGCCCGGGTGGCTCAGTGGTTTAGCGCTGCCTTCAGCCCAGGGCATGATCCTGGAGACCCGGGATCGAGTCCCATGTCTGGCTCCCTACGTGGAGCCTGCTTCTCCCTCTGCCTGTGTCTCTGCCTCTCTCTCTCCTTGTGTCTCTCATGAATAAATAAATAAATTAAAGAAGAAGAAGAAGAAGAAGAAGACAGCCACCAGGACCTTGTTTATATGGACACCTATTGCCTTTGCTCCTGCTGTAATGCGGCTTTCCTGGTTAGGACACCGGCTGACACAAAATTCCCCAACGTGCCTTCAGATCATGTCAGGCTCAGAGTCAGGCTTCAGGGTGGTGGCTGTATTTGGTTGCTGACAGGCAACTTTCCAAAGAGATAAACACAGCCTATTGCCTAGTTTTACAAAACAAAAAGGAATAGAATCCTGTATCTTTTGATAAGATGCCATTTAAAATTGCAATTGCATTAAATAAGTTGAACTTAGAAGTATTTACTCAGTACTCCATAGTAATAAAGGGGTGAGTACATCCTAAGTATAGCTTCCGTGTTTACGATGCTTATAGTCTCCAGGTCGGAAGACAGGCAAACATCTCATCAGGTGGAGGGCCTCCAGGTGGAGAAGCCTCACCAGGTGGAAGGTCTCCGGGTGGAGAAGCCTCACCTGGTGGAGGGTCTCTGGGTGAAGAAGCCTCACCAGATGGAGGGTCTCTGGGTGGAGAAGCCTCACCAGGTAGAGGGCCTCCTTTGGAAATCATGCATACTTGGGACTGGCCTGGGGCTGAGAACTGGGAAGGCAGCTTAGGGCATCAGTGCTAGACACTGAGAACTGTATCACTGTCATCTCAAGGTCCCTCAGGGCGCCAGTGGGGTCTTTAGGATGACATGTGGCTGGAGACTGGAAGGCAGGGCTGCAGGTGGGAGCTGTTAGACTGCTGTGTGTGTGGCGGCTGCAGGGAAGGAGAGGAGAGCCCGCTGTCTCTGCCGCCAATCCCGTGGGAACCACATCGGCCTGCCTTGTGCCAGCCCACCACTGGTCACAGGCTCATCTTTTTTTTTTTTTTTAAAGAGAATGAATGGTTAGATCCTAAAGCTCCCAGAGAATGTAAGCATCCGAATAAAACCACCACGCTGTACAATTCAAGAAACGAAGGAAAAAGACATTCCTACCTGTAGCAGATTTTACAATCACACTCATTCTCCTTCTTACTGAGTCAAAACTCAAAATTTCCAGCAATTCAAACCTGAAAAAGAGATCAAGACTTGTTTTTAAAACCTGGCTCTGTAAGCCCTGTAATCTAGGTGATCACAGTGCATTCTTGGCACAGTGTCAGGCTCCTCTGCCCTGAGCACAGCCCACCCCATCTCCTGGCTGGCCGTGCTTTCTTGGGGGCGTTGTCGGGATTCGTGCAGTGGGGGCTGCACTGCTGGTGCTAGCACCAGTGGCCCCCAGGGGCCAGAGGGAGGCAGAGGCCAGGCATCGCGGGCTGAGCCCTAGCCCAAGTTGTGGCTGCCCCGGGAGTTGGTCCAGCACACAAACTGCATGTTCACTTCCCTGAATTCTGGACACAGACTCACAGGCCGTACCAGAGCTGCAATCCCCGGCAATATGGCATGTCCTTGAAGTTAATAAAAATCATTTAAAATGCAAAGAAAATCGATATTAAACTGGCTTATACAGTCATTATCAAAGACTATAATTTCTGCTGACATTTGAAATACTGGAAGTGGCTCAGCCCCCTGGAGAGATGCCCTGGAATGTCCTCGAGGTCCAGAGACCCCAGGCCAGCTCAGGGAGCAGTAAACCTCATGATGCAGCTGGCTTGCAAGCCGTGGGAGGGCCGTGCAACCCTGGGCAGCAGCCGAGGGCGTCCTACCCTCCCCAGGGGCTGCCAGCACTGTAGGGGCAAGCTCACTGCGCCTACCCAGGACCAGCAGCCACTGTGGGTCAGGGGCTCACCTCCTGCCAATCCAGGAGTTTATTTTTCTTAAGGAAATGTTAAAATCCAGGGGTTTTTGCAGCTATGGAATCGAGTGTTATATTCTTTGCCACATGTCTCTGTCTATACCCATTATTACAAGTCACATTTGTTTACAAAGGAGAGATGGAGTTTTGAGTGAACACTACAGATACGTGCCCCGTCTCAGGGCCCTGCCCCCCTCTGGTGGACACAGTCACTAACACTGAACATGTGTGTCAGTTCTCTCTCTCCAGAGACAGACTGGCCACCATGGGCATCCACCAGAGCGCCCTTCTCAGCCTTCTGTGGGGCCCAGCATCCCACAACCAGGAGCCAGGGCTCCATGAACACACATCCTGAGGCCACTTGGGACAGTGTCAGGCATCCTAGATGCCACGGGGACTCCTGTGTAAGCCTAATGTGGGATGGCCCAGAATGTAGGTGGTGCAGCCCCGCCTGGCCAGCCTCGACTCTGGCCAAAGGTCCTGGGCTGTCACAAGGGGAGGGGACAGGTGTGGGTGGGGACAGAGACCTCAGGTTCCCCCAGAAACTGTCTCCGACATAGGTGTGCTCACCTTTCCACGTCGTTCTCTCTATTTAGGATTTCCATGTAGTTGTCTTTCAGTCTCAGATACGTGAAACCAAGTCTGCAGAGAAAAGGACACATCAGTCCAGAGCTCACAGTCCAGTCTGATGCTCCTCATACCTTATTTAAGCTTGGGGAAAGCTTTCTTATCAATAAAGAAACACTTCTGGTGAAACAGAAGTGAGAATTGCTGAGCAATGGGGCTGTCTGGGGGGTGCCCAGGGGTGCCACATCACAGTGATAAGGATCCTGAGACACTGCAGATCTCCAGAACCACCCTCTCATTTTATGGATGAGGGAGCCATAGTCCAGAGCCAGAAGCCAGTCCATAAACGTCAGCAGCGTGTGTAACACATAACATGCCCTCCTCCACCAGCATCCCCAAGAGCTGCCCCTACCCCCGCCAGGTGCTGTGGTGCAGAGACAAGGCCATGCCTTCTGGAGGCCAGGAGCTTAGACACGAGGAGGTGGAAGCATCATCGCAACACAGTTGTGGCCACAATGATGCAAGGGTGCATGGGACCGTAGGGGGACAGGGTGTCTACCCGTCACGGCACAAGCTGGCAGGCTTCCTAGAGGTGAGCCTACAGTGGCCAGCAGGACCAACCTGTCCTAACTTCTGACACACAGCTGCACTTTCGAGCGCTCTTAGAATATACAGACTGGCTGTAAAGTACAACCAAAATCCTTTGCATCTTTAATAAAAGTTAAGAGGGGAACCACCTATTGAAGACAGTGACCAAGAGAATCCACAGCCAAGGATTCACTCCACACGGACACAGGCAATGTATCTGAACAAGAATTTAGAACAACAGTCCCAAATTCTGGCTTGAAAGAAGCACAGAAGATACCAGAGAATCCCTGGTCAGGCCGAAATAAAACGTGCTGTAACGGAGACACAGAGCATCTGGACATTATCACAGTGAGGACTGAAACAGCAAAAGATTGAACAGATCAAACAGAAGATGAGATTGTGGAAAACAACGAAGTGAAAAGATAGCCACAGAGTCTGGCAGCAGAATGGCAGCTTCTCCCACCAGCAGTGGGCTGCATACAGCAGGGCCCTTGTCTGCCAGCATGGAGGTGGAGGACTCGGGTCAGCAAGGCTCCGCCTGCCCAGCCCACCCCACAGCAAGCATCCCAGCACAGTGGCCGTCTCGGGACACTCCTTGTGAGTCCACGGTCAGGGCAGACTGCATCAGCAGGGCCCTCGTGCACCAGACCCGCTCAAAGACGTACCTCTGGATACCTTCAACGAGGGCCACCTCATCAGGAGAGGACGAGATGTAAGTACAGGACTTCCCTGAGTCAGGAGACTTCCTGGGTCCATCCACGTCATCGTCGTCCTTCACCTGGATGGTGTGGCACAGACACAGGGCCCGGAAAAACAGCTCTTCCTGCTCCTACAAAAGTGTGGTACAAACCCCACGTATCTATGCCATGTCAGCTTAAAGTACATAGAAAATATGCAGAAGGCAGTGAACAAATTTCAGGGGTCAGGGGAGATTCGTCTCATCTCCAGTGCTTAAGGGGAGGGTGTGGCTTCTCTTCATCCTTGAGCAGTTCTGAGTAAGGGCAGTGAGGATGCTGGTTCAAGTCATAGGACATGAAGTCAGCAGCCAAGCCTCCGGGAGCCTGGATGCCCTGGGGTTCCCCAGCTAACTTCCCAGGGGCCCTAAGGTGTGGCTGAAGCCCAGGGCCACTGACCACAGGCCCTCCCTCCAACACTTGGCAGGGAAACATCAGTTTCCACGTGGAAACCCTCTGATGCACATGTGGCAGGGGATGCGGGGCACTTGGTCACGAAGGAGCTACCACTGCATAGTTGCTAAGGCAAGTTGTCCTCAGTTCCCAAAGGACCCGGCACAGGGCTTTGAGGGCACCAAGGTTTGGGGAATGGTCTCCTCACTGACCATGGTGATCATGGTGAGGGGTCACAGCACCTCCCAGAGATGCCAAGGTCTGGAACCATAGCACTTGGGAGTGTGTGCATGTGTGCCATGGGATGTACTGTATGTACATGCATGTACTGTGTGAGGGTGTGTGCACACTGGGCATGTATTTCTGTGTACATGTGTGTAATTTACATGTGAGCATATGGGACATGTGTCTGTGTGTGCACATGTAGTATGTATGCACACATGTGAGGGTGTGTACGTATACATACATGCTTGTGAGCATGAGGGGCGTTCATGTGTATCTGAGTACAGTGTGTGTGTGTACATCTGAGGGTGTATGCATGTGGGGCACATGCCTGTGTGTATATGCATGCACATGTGAGAGTGTAGGACATGTGTCTGTGTGCACATGTGCGCACTTGAGTGCAGTGTATGTGTGCACTGTGTGTGTGCATATGGGGTGTGTGTCCCTGTGTACATGTGTATGTACATACAATTCACATGTGAGCATATAAGGCATATGTCTCTGTGTGCACATGTGAGTGGGGGCAGGTATCTGTGTATACACACACATGAAAGTGTGTATACATATACATACATGCTTGTTAGCATAAGAGGCATCTATGTGTGCAAGTGTGTACATCTCAATGTAGCATGTGTTTGTACACACGTACATGTGTGAACACGTATGCATGTAGGGCATGTGTGTGCACTTGAGTGCAGTGTGTATGTACAGATGTGTGAGGGTGTGTGCATATGGGGTGTGTGTCTTTGTGTACATGACTATGTACATACAATTCACAAATAAGCATATGGGACATGTGTCTGCACCTGTGAGGGTTTGTGTGCATGTATATACATGCTTGAGAGTGTGAGGGGCATTTGTGTGTATCTGAGTACAGTGTGTCTGTGTGCACGCATGAGGGTATGTGCACGTGTCTATTCACATGCACACACATGAACGTGTGCTCCACACATACACATGTGCATACATGCTAGCGCATGTTTGTGAGCACAGACATGTGGAGTGCACAGCCACTTTGCTCTCAGCATACCACATGTTCTAGCTGTTTCTCACACAGATGTGACCACTGGGGTCAGAGGCAGGAAATGGTGGTAAGCACACAGTTCCTGATGCAGGTCACTAGCAGATCCAAGAACAAGGGGTGGTACTGGTTGGCCTTGGGACAGGGGACCCTGGGACAGTGCAGCAGTCATGGCCCCAAGGGAACACACCTGTGTGTGTGTGGGTGTGGGTGGTCACCTACCCTGGCACTGGTGCCTGGGGAGGAGTCAATCATGTCGATGCCAGAGGCGCCGGGGAGCACCTGCCCATTGCAAATGGCGTGCGGCACATACACATGGCCTTCGATGCAGCACTCCTTGAACTCCATGTTGTTCTCCGTGAGTGTGCCAGTTTTGTCTGTGAAGATGTACTCCACCTGCAGACACATGCTCCGTTGGGTGGGGCTGGCCAGGAGTATGCGATCTCCTCAGAGAAGGCGGAGCCACCAATGACTCAGACCCCAGCACAGCCCTGCTTCCTAACGTCAATGTTTTCACCCCCATATACCGCCAGCGTGAAGCCCCACACTCAGATCAATTCCGGTTCTGGGCTCATCAGGAGTAACGGTGGAATTCTGGATGACGGCACGGCATGAGGATGTCCCCGCCAGCCTGGGGGGGCACGTCCTGCTCACCATGCCTGATGACACACGCCCTGGGACACACACGGGAGGCAGGGTTTAAGGGTCAGGATGTGCAGGAGTGCAGGAAGCAGAAGACATGGGTAACAACCAGCTACATATCAGCAAAATGTTCTCTCTAGTTTTAATGCTTCTGCAGAAAATGCATTTCCCCACGTGCCTGGTTCTACAAGCAAACCAAGGACACAGCAGACAACCTGCCATTCGAAAGCCTGCCCCCAGTGCCTGCCGCGGAGCCTCTCCCCGCAATTGGGACGATCTGGAGGGAAGCCCCATGTGATGGTCCTCAGAGCAGCAGCTATGCTGTCCAACACCTGTCTTTTTTAAAGAGTTAGGGTCAACAATCATAATGAACATTCTGGGAGTCCCTATCTTCTGAAAAACTTTCCACAAACCTCCCAAGCATCAGGGTACCAAGATAATTTGAGTCAGATATGCTGTACTAAACAGCGCTTCTCGCTTTTCTTGTTACAGAAAACTGCTTTCCTCTAAGATTTTCTCAAGAACACATAACACATATCACGTGTTGTTACCAAGGATGTGAAATACGTAGACATGAAACTATCCTAGTGCCGGGCAAATGAGTCGCATTTTCCGAGGGGCGGTCTAGGACTGGACTCCAGTCTCGGCTGCAGCATGCACTGGAGGGACACTCTGAAAGTCATGCTCATCAGTAAGCAAGTCATCTCTTGGTAACAAGTACCCATGACCCCAGGGGGTGAAGGCAGTTGGTCTGAGCCTGAGCATCTATTTACAGACTGCCTCTTGGGGCAACAAGGCGCAGATTTCAGCTGCCAGGCTAAAATGGCCCTGTTTGCAGGGGTCTTGGGTGGGTCAGTCAGTGAAGCATCTGAGTCTTCATTTTGCCTCAGGTCATGATCCAGGGGTCGTGAGGTCAAGCCCCGCATTGGCTCAGGATTCTCTCCCTCTGCCCCTCCCCCTGGCATGCTTTCTCTCTCTATCTCAAATAAAATCTTTAGAATGACCCTGTTTGCAAAAATACTCCCCCCAAATTTCTTCGTTTTTTGTTTTGTTTTGTTTTTAATGAGTGAACTACCATTTACCAAATGCTCTTCACTGCCCTGTAAAAGCCAGGAAGGGGTCAGGCCATGATGGCAGACCTTTCTGGAACTGTGTCCCAGAAAAGGAGTGAGGTTTGGGTCTGGCAGACAGGTGTGCACAGGCTCGGCCCCTCATCCAGGCAGCCCTGGCCGGCAACCTCCCTGTGGCGACTCCAGCACACACTGGCACACACCACACCTCTGACGCCCCATCAGTGCAGCACTCTGGCAGGGCAGAGATGGTGTTGCACCCATTTTATAGATTAAGACGCTCAGGTGCAGAGAGGTCGGCCACCACCATCTGTGAAGAGCAGGGCTGCGATGAGATGTCTGACGTCTGCCAATACACCGAGCTATTGGAACTCTCACTTTGCTCATCTTTAAATCGAGGAAAACTGCTCACTCTGAGTTCAGGGAAGGAAATCAGGCATAAGAGCTAAATGCAATGCCTGTAAAGGAGGACTCACCAAACTTACAGTATGAAAGCCCAGAACAAGCACTACTTACCAAGTTGGGTGAGCTTATATCAAGCAGCTACACAGCTGATTTTGCATAAATTATATGCATAAAAGCACAATCAATTGCCATGTAAATAAAACATAAAAAATAAATTTTGCTGCTGTGTTTCACAAATTATGGGATGCATCTTTGTCAGTGAGTTAAAATGGAAAATTTTCATTTGACCATCTGGATGATGTGCCCCCACAACAGGGATCATTTAGAACCCAGACACCCGGGGACAGATGGTCACAGGTCAGGGAAGGGGGTCCCGAAGGTACTGACCTGTCCTAATTCTTCATTTAAATCTGATGTGTTGACCAGAGGTCCTTCCCCCGTGTCCTCGTCAAACATTTCTTCATCCCAGGTGATAAAATACGAGCCCAGGAACTTCTGCATCTCCACCGTGACGTACATGGACACGGGGATGATGTAGTTGAAGAGGACCATGAAGGCCAGGAAGTCTGTGAAAGCCCTGAGGAACTGAGAGAGCACCATGTGATTTCCCACATCCCCATGCCAGCATCACAAAGGCCTAAAACTCAGTTCTGCCCAGATTGCATCTGTGCTATTTCTAAATACAGGCATTTATTTCAAATCCAAAGATAAATATATTTGGGGGTGGCCATCGGCTTAGTCACCCCGCACCTGATTTTAGTGCCATAAGGGTCACAGACCAGGAGCCGGACTGTATAATCTGGAGGCACATGGCTCAGGTCTGGACTCAGGGAGTCCAGCCAGAAGACCATACTCTTTTGAGTAGAGGAGATTCAATAAAATTATTTTAAGACACTGGCTTAGGGAAAAATCAATTTTGGTAAACACGAGCAACCAAGCTGAAAGCCCCCCTGAGGAAAAATGAAATCAATTCTTACCATAATTTTCCTATAATTGAGACTCTTCTTTTTTCCTTTCTCTTACCATAAGTAGGTACCATTTACCTCATGATCCTTAATGAGTGTTTTCTGAACACTCTCTAAATATAGCATATTGCACTGGGTAGCACCAGAAGTGTTTATGCTGCTGCCCTTATGAATTTACCATGGGAGCCAATCCCTTCCCAGAGTATACACTCAAATACCCAAGACAGGACCAACCAGTGTCTATGGATAGGGAGGCAATTGATAAGACTTTCCAATCAGTGAACATTTCTATGACAAAGGTGTCATCAATCAAGATTTCATGTTCTCCTGCCACATTTTCATAACAACAGCCTATAGGGTATCTTTGATGACTTTGCAAAGGGGAACACATTCCATACCAGGTTCCTCTGTCTTTCTGACTCGGTTTTCTGATTATACCATGGCTCATCTCGGAATGGTTCGCTCTGCCATACGTACTTCAGGACAGTGTTTATCAGCGCTTTACTAATCAGAATGCAGAGGTACACAATGAGGAACACGTTCATGGATCTAAAACACATGACCAACGATACTTAGTTATTGATTGATGAAGAATCTAGAGCAGTGTGTCACCTTCCTCACACGTCAAGATAAACACACTGTGAAGAAACAGAGAACATGTTTTAAAGGAGCCCCCCACCACCAATGGCACAGTAGAAGTGAGAACAGAAGCTTGCATATATCAGAGTCCATCCTGTGACCACAGGGAAAGTTCTGAAAACAGGAGAGAGTGGTGCATGCAGCCACACTGGTGACTGCATGGTCTAGGAGTCTAAGATTCAGGATATCCAGAAGTCATTTCTTCTGCCACTAAGTGTCAACCAGTGAGTTCCAGGTTTAGAAATAACCACTGGGAAGAAGGGAGGGAATGCCCTCTGAACTGGAAAAGTACTGAATCCCTGGCTAGTGTCTTAGCAGATCTTGTGAAAAAGCCTTGATTTTCCAGTATCTATTTCTGAAACCCATACATCAATGTAGACATCTGGAAGTAAAGCATTCTTGCTTATCAAGAGCCAGATCTCCATTTTCATATCTGGTACAGCCGTCGACGGACAGAGACCCATGATTGCATCCTGAGATCAACTTGGTAAGAGCAGGCAGTCTTCCCAAAGATCTCCAAGTCCCACATAGTTCTTATTAAATAATTTATAATCACTTCAAGTCAGGAATACACTTGAACAAAAGGCAAAGAAGACAAAATTCTGGGCCACATCTTCTCACAAATTCAACTCTGTACTTGGCTTGTCATTGTAAGGATTTTACTGTTTCATGAAAAGAACACTGTTTTCTCTCTGCTCAAGCTTTCCTCAGGAAAACACACAGTTTCCAACAACTCAAAGCCAAAAGTGACCCAATTTTAACATTTTCATGAATTGGCAAGAGGAGCTACAGGACTTAAGACGTCCATATGAGGAAGCCTGCAGACTTGGGCTAAAGGTGTGTGGCCATTTGCATCCCCATAGAACAAGACTGTTGATATAAATACCCAGCACTACCAGTTCCCTAGAGACCATGAAAAAATTGCTAATGAAGCCAAAAGGAAAATGCTTTCATGTCTACTGGGGCTCAAGATGGTTTTAGGTCATGGAGCTCTATGCACTTCAAAGCGGGTACTGAGACTTACTTTTCTACAGCAGATCGTTTCTGGGATTTTGATTGATAATTTAATGCCATCTTGGTTTCCATGCCTGTGTAAATAGCAACACCTGTAAACCAGAAGAGTCAATGTTAGAACAATAACACAGGCATATCTTGCCTTTACATAGGAAGTTACACACAGCTACAGTAAAATGAAATTTTGGAGAAAATAAATCCTATTTTAAATTTCATTAGGCAAGCTAGCTGTTCACAAAGAGTCTCACAACAGGATTCCTCAGACTATAGAAATACTTTTTTTTTCCAGCATAGAAATCAAGCTCTACTTTTTCTTGAAGCTCAGATTTTACTATGTTGAATTTTTTGACAATAGGGCACATCCACATGTTTTTTAGTTGTCTCAATTAAAAGACAAAAATAACCCATACAGATGGGAGATAATAGCAAAGAAATACAGCCATTAAAAGAAATCTCCTGCAGAACTATATTGTGAAACATAAATTTAGGTTTCTGAGTCAGAAACTACAGGCACTTCACATGCAAGCAACCCTCAGACCCCACTGCTTTGTGGGCCTTGGCGATCCACCAGTACTGGCTGATCACTGCTGCCAGAGTCTACCGCAGAGCACAGAGAGATGCATTCATGGGAGCACTACGAACTTTAACTGCTCAACGCACCCTTAATTTTAGAAGCTATTAGTATAATTCACTAACTGAGACACTGACCGAAGATCTTCTCGGTGTTCTTCAGCGTGGCTCCTCTGAGAAGCAAGTTCTCTGACCCCAGCGGCCTGCAGACACAGAAGGACCAAAGCAGAGCAATGGAACACACAGAAGGTGCTCTGGGGTAGGAAAATTGAGGCCTGCATTTAATAGACTTGATGTCAAGAGGAAATCATTTAAATGCAGAGTACCTTCTATCTGGATTACGAAAGTTAGCCTGGCTCCGTGTAAGGGTGGGTGGCCTTCACCCTGGGAGGGTAAGAGCTGCTCTGTGGAAGGTCCCAGTGGATTGGCACTTGGCAGTGCCTGCTCTCTGGTGGGGCTCCACACTGTGTGAGGCCTTGTCAGGAATGCGGGCTCCCAGCTCACCAGACCAACCAATGGGTCAGAGAAGGTGATGTCTGTGATTCAAGAGGATCCAGCTATTCCCACCACATCCTCGGGGAGGCTCCACAAGTTTCATGGGATCTGGTCTTACTTCCCAACATGGGGGCTGGGAATACTGTGCATTGGTCAACATGGGCAGTCAAGCACACACAGACCCTCTCTGTATGCCCATGGTCTCCAGATCTGGAGCCACCCCTGCACCTGCTACTCTGGGGAAGCAACTACCAAGAAAGGTAAAAACCACTCAGGAAGGAACAAGCAGGGCCCTCAGCACTCGAGACTCAGCAGTGAGCAACAGACCAAATCTCTGCCTTTAGGGGATCATGTTCCTGTGGGCTCCATTCCTCATTTCTTCTCATTTTCCAAGAGTAAAAGAGAGTAAGAAGAATGCAACTCGCGAATGTTGCTGCTGAAGTATTCTACCAATTTCCTTTGCAGAGTAAAGAATTAGTATCAAAATGTGAAGTATATTAGTTATTACCTTCCCAAGCTACTCAGCATTAAACTTTGAACTTGAAGCATGAGAAGCTGGCAGTGCTTACTTCTGATTGATCCTAGCAGCAATCTGCATAAATCTAAATCTATTAAGACAAAGGCTCATGAGACACAGAAGTACTGGTTGTTCTACACAGAAATTAGGAGTGTCCTGGAGACTTGTGCCTATTTAGGGAAGACCATGGCCATGCCTTCATGACCTCTCAGAAGCACCCACAAACGTGCTGATCGACAATAAAGTGAGAGGCACACAAATCATTTCCATGAAACAAGCAATTTGAAGAGCCTCACAAGGAGAGGCGCCCAGGTCTGATATTTCAGGAGCCATTTATTTGCCATCAATATCTTGCAGAGATTATTTCTACTTCCAGGCAATTGCTCTCCTTGACACACAAGGTAACACCAGGACATGGACAATCTGGAGACCACTTAAGTGGGAAGAAAAATGATTTCTCCAACCCCAGGGGAGGGAGTTATAGGTCAACTCTGAATCCTACTCAAAGTCAACTTCCTAAACCATCCATCTCGATCAACCCAATAGCTAAGACCTGCTAGATCTGGAAATGATGCCCAGAAGACATATCCACAGGCCTGGGGATGCAGAGAGCCAGTGTGAGTGTGAGGTGAGAGTGGACCACATGTGTCCAGCCACTGGCTGGCTCTGGTGCGCAGCCACCTGGCTGGTGTGGGTCCTTGTCCACAACCCATGGGTGTGAGAGATCCCAGGCCGCTATGATGAAACAGGTAAGCACACCCACCTGCCACCTGCACGGTCCCCAGATGAGACACATCCCCTTAAATCTAGACAGAATCTAGAGCCAAAAGTGTGTCCCAGTGATGATTGTGAGTAGATGCATACATTCCAATAACATGGCCTCCTCGTCAGAAATTGCTCAGCTTCATGGTTGAAGACACACTCGTCTATAAAAGTTGAGGGCATTTCTCACAGGGACAGAGGCTCACTGTCACAGGCTCCTAACATGGTGAGACAGTATCTTCCATGAGTGCCATCAGTTTGTTGGCATGAACAAGAGAAACCAGAGAAGACAGCAGAACCTGGACCATTGGTAAAGCAGAATTCTACTTCTAAAACCCAACAGAATAGCAACGATGAAAGCCTCTGATCTGTAATAGAAAATTTCACTTTAATGGAAATAGTGCATCTTTCCTCACCTCACCACGGGGTCGTTCCGGTCATTGTAGACGTTGATGCGGCCGACAAACCTGGCAATAGAAAAGCCAGGTCAGTGCTGAGCAGCTGGGTGGGGGAGGCAGGCCAGGTGCCTATTGTCCAGAGACAATTCCTGCCTCCAGGAGGGAAGTGCACTCTACTTGAGGGCTGGGTTCTTGGTCAAGAGCTCATTGGCTTCCTCCCTCTTTCTTCTTTAAGGTTTATTTGAAAGAAAGAGCGCAAACGTGTGTGCAGGAGCTTGAGGGTGGGACAGCAGGAGACACAGGCTTCCTGCAGAGCAGGGAGCCTGACGCAGGGCTCAATCCCAGGACCCAAGATCATGACCTAAGCTGAAGGGAGATATTTCACCAAAGAAGCCAACTGGGCACCCCCCACCCATTCTTGTTTTACTATCTGTCCTTATTAGCCTGTGATCACTCTACGGATTTTCCTTAAAATTGTTTCTCAAATCACAGAAAATTATGTTTTCTTCAATAAACTTAGTTCCATTAAGCCAGGCCAAATATTTCCATAAATAGCTATAGATTTTAACGTTGCTGGACTATGAAAATGTTAAGTATGCTATTTCTGGCTTGGTCTCAATTTTTAAGCAGCTACGTACATTCTCTTCCCAGACAAGCGCAGTGCTGGTTGGGGCAGGGTGGAGAGAACAGCAGGTGGGGGGAGGGCACCAAATGTGGGGAACACAGACAGACTTACTTATACAGGTCAGGCTGGGGCTGCTCACACTCAATCGTGGCGTGCAAGCCATCTATATCCTCTTCTGTATGAAACCCCTTAGTATCTTGAACGGCGTAGTGAGTCTGCAGATCGACAAGAAAGGTGAGTTCACAACCAAACAGGGGACACGCACGTGGCAGCCAGTACCCCTGATGTGGGGGCAGCACCATGTGCTACCTGCTGTGCCTGTAACCGAGCCCGCTCACAAACCCTAGGTACTGTGTCAGAGAAAACGTGGAAGTAGACTCGGAAGTCACATACCAGCAAATATACAACAGAGTTTGCGAATGTTAACAAGTTAAAGAATCACCAGGTGCCACTGGTATTCCTTCATCAGGGACTGTAAAACCCTTCTACTCCTGCCCACTGCTCTCAACTTCACTGTGATGGCGACCAGTCAGAAAAGAAATCTAGGACCTGATGTTCCTTTCCCTCATATGATGCCCTACCATGTGCACCACACTGTCCTTGGCATCACACACTGCGCAGGCCTGGCACTGCTGGAGAGCATAAGCATTCCCTGCATGGTTCTGTGAACCTGAGCATGCTTTGCACCCTGGAATGCTTGCAGGGCACTGGTTCCCAATGCGGTGGGTCCAGGGGGCCCAAGAATGGCATTTCTAACACGACCCAGGCAATGTTGAGGCACTGGCCCCAACACCATTGCTCAGAGTCTGAGCAAGGGCCTGCTGGAGACAGCGCATCTCTGAATGTCCTCTTGTCCTCCCAGCAACCAAGTGCTTGGGGGCGGGGGAGAAGGACATGGATCAAGGCAGGCAGGAGATAAACCATGGCAGCAGCAGCATTTATAACACTTTGGAGCACCTACTGTGCACCTGGCATGTTGGGAAACTTTCTAAGTGTATGCTCACAAGAGCCCCTGGAAGACAGGTCTGTCCCCATTCTACAGATGTGAAAACTGCAGAAGTTAAAACTGCCTGCCCAAGATCACAGAGGCTGTAGCCAATGACCAGTGCAGGAGCCCCACTGCCTTTTAAGGAAAGAGTTCAGGCCAAACAAATTTGCAGAAGTGGCATCAAAAAGCACACACACAGGATGCTGATCACAATCGGCACAAAAGCTGCAGTGGAGTGCCTGCCAGTTCTAGACAAGGCAATGGCCATTACGTCTCATCACCAGCTCAGTAGTCTAGCCGGACACCTGCCACAGCCGCTCACTAGCGATGATAGGAGGGATAGGATCCCTCCTGCATCCTCCTGCAAGACAGGTGCAAGGGGCAGCCTGATGCCCACAGCCTGGGTACTCGGGGCTTGCTGGGTGTCAGGGATACGGGAACCTGATCCACATGCTCCAGATACCATAGTCGTCCGACTCTCCTGGGGGCTTCCACCCCCAAAATTTCTGTTGTTTACAATCAATCGTGCCAGAGTGTTAGCCCTCTCAGGATATGTATATAGGAAAGGTGCCCCCAAATCCCTCAGGGTTTATAGAATGATATGAATTATCCATAAAAGAAAGAAAATATCTCTTTCCTATTGCAGAAACCCCATCATTAATTGCCATTTGTCAATGCCTCAGACATGGTTGGCTCCACTGAGCCATGCTCACTTTCCCAAATTCCTTGGAAGCTCCCATTTAAAAAAAAAAAAAAGAAATCCTTAAAATAGTGATACGTTCTATTCATATGTGATGCTTAAAGTTTTGTAGCACCAACTGGCAGTACAGAATTCCATACTGAGAATAAGATATAATTACTTATTATAAATTCAGAAAATCCTTATTAAGATATTTTAACAAGAAGACACTTATTAAAGTGATAGTCATCAAAAACCTAGCCTCTTAAGTGGCTTTTCACATAATTCCAGTGTAGCAAAGACACTAATTTTGACTAGTAAAATGAAAATTTTCAAAATTCCCATAATCTACTCACTGTATCCTTAATCTGGTCCCCTTTCACTAAATGACACAGCTAAGAAATAACATGAAGTTATTTCTCTGAACCTGGGGTGGTTAGCGGTTAAGGACTGAGTGGGGACAAGAAACGGCGGGATGTAGGGAGAAGCAAAGTGAGGGGCCTCATGGCTGCCACAGTACCCCTGGTTTTTCCACAACCCCTGAAAACATGGGGTTTGCAAACATGGTGCCACAGCGGCTGGCCACACAGTATGGCTGGAACAGTGCCCTGCCCAGGGCCCCAAATAAAAGGCACGGTACTTTGTGACTGGATTCTCCGTCTAAGCTGGCGGTTGTCACATGGCAGGTCCCATCTCCGCGGCTGCTGGAGAGGAAAATCAGGTCACAGGGGAAGGTCTCGTCCTCCTTGACCATGACGATGTCTCCAACCTGCAGGACAGACAGGCTCTGTGTGGCGGCCCAGCCCTGTGTGGGTGCTAAAACATCCGAGGGAAGACTGTTTGCAGGGATTCTGCCAAAATCTGGGACGATTAGGTGGGGTTTCAATGTGCCAACTTCAGACCCACGAAGCATCAATGCACATTATGACAAAATAACATGCAGGGGAACCATAGACAAACTCCCATGACAGGATTATCCTTGATTGAGCCCAAGCCAGGCAAGTGCATGTGTTTATAATGAGTCTGCGTGGGAATTATTCCTGCAAGATAACAATATACCCTCCTGGTGGATGCGAGGAGGCCGTGATGGGGCTGTTCCTGATGCCCAGGTGGGCTGGGACTCCAAGGAATGCAGCTGGACAGAAGAGCCAGGCTGCAAATGCGGCCTGTATGTTCCGTTTACGCCATGATGTTCTTGAGAGGACAGAACCTTAGAGATGGACCATCGTAGGCTCTCTTCTGCAATGGTCTCGGCACCTCTGCAGGCTGGCCCTGTCTCACACTGTCAGGGCACAGCCTCTCATTCCAGCTGCCCAGGTAGAGAGCGGACATTTGCCCCAGGACATCAAGGCATTAAAAAAACAATTTTCTGCTGATGCTATTTAGGTCTATTTACTAGGAACATAGAAGGCTTTGCAAAGGATATATGGTCTCTAAAGGAAAGTGCACATAGGGCCTGGGGCCTGAAGAAGCCTGGTAACGTGCCCAGGGCCCACCACGATTCCTTCCCAGACCCCTGACGGCCAGGAAAGAATCACCAGTCAAGACCAAGTGAGGGGAGCTCAGTCAGAATTCCTGCAACACCTGTATGGTGAGATTTTTTTTTTTTAATATTTTTTTTTAATTTTTTTTTTTTAAAGATTTATTTATTCATTCAGAGAGAGCGAGAGACAGCGAGAGACACAGGCAGAGGGAGAAGCAGGTTCCATGCAGGAAGCCCGATGTGGGACTCGATCCCGGGTCTCCAAGATCACACCCCAGGCTGCAGGCGGCGCCAAACCGCTGCGCCACTGGGGCTGCCCCTGTATGGTGAGATTTATAAAACAAAGAAGTTGTAGGGGTGCTTGGCTGGCTCCAACGGTAGAATATGAGATTCATGAGTTCATGAGTTCAAGCCCCGCATGGGGTGTAGAGATTGCTTAAAAAATATACATAAATTTAAAAACAACAAAGAAAATGTGTGCATTGTGTGTATGGTACATGTTAGACAAGGTTAATAAAGGTGGCCATGTACTGGTGACACTTGAGCAGGCCCCCAGGTGGATCCTGGGTTGGGTGGGGGGGGGAATGGGTTGGGGATGGAGGGGGAGAGGAGGGTGGGCACAGGGTGAGGGGTCGGGAAGGGAATGAGAGGATGAAGGAGGGGAGGGGATGGGGAGTGGAGAATGGTGGGGGAGAGGGTGGGGAAGGGGGGTGGCAGAGAGTGGGGGAGAGAGCTTCAGAGGTGAGACGCAGCTGGGCTCCATCCAGGACGCACAGCTCACAGTCCCCAGGGACTAGCCTGAGCAACTGTACCACGTGCTGGTGCATGTGCAGATGCACGTGCAGGTACTTCCCACTGGCTTGAGCAGGTGTGAAAATCATCCACACAGGTGACATAAACAATGTTTAAGCAGATGAAGATACGTCACTTATACCCATGGCCCAATGAAACGGAGTTAAAACAACCTGCAGTGAGGCTGCCATTCCTAATTTCACAGTTTCCAACCAGTGGAATTCCCGTTCACATGACTCTACATGTTCGAGAACATGTTTGCTCATGGTGTCCCAGAGCATCCTCTACCATGACTGTGTGGAGCAACCTCCTAGAGCCCAGACTGCCCTGATGGGATCTGTGAAATTAAACAGCTCTAAAGAAGAAAGCTCATTACAACTTGCAATAAGTAAAAATTGAAGTTAAACAAAGCAGATCGTGGCAGGAGCCTGCCTTCAGTGAGAAGGGTTTGGGGAAGGAGCCGGGCCCAAACTCAGTAAAGCAGCGGTTCTAGGCTCAGGTTTCCTCAAATGAAACCCTGCTCACGCTGCTGCTTTTTGGGCTTTGGTTTGGGCTGAAGAACTGTGCCAGGATTACTCACCCTCAGCTTTCGGCTCTGCTTCCGGACTAGCTTTCCATGCTGGATGAAATGCACAGGGCACTGGTTCATGGCATTGTCTGCCTTGTGGCGAAGCCAGTCCTCATAGCCCTGAGGGAGAGAAGACAGCCACACAGTGGAGCAGTACCCCATGGAGGGTCTTCGGCCCCAGGCCGGCTGCTCTGGACTTTGCCAGATGGGCCGCAGCTGCGGGTGCCATGCAGCCAGCTTCAGCCTCGGGACAAGCAAGGCTGCCCTAAAACCAGAAGTCACCCTTCCTGACACCCAGCAGCCACCTACCAGGAGTCCCAGGCTTTCACCTTAACTGAACCCTACATCTACCCACTTCTTCCTGGCCCTGACCACGGGGTTGGCCTGTCCATTCCTCCAGAGGGCTGGTGCCTGTATTCTTGCACCAGCAGTGATCAGGATTCAAGTCCTGAGGCCCCTGGGAGTTCAACATCCCTCTGTTTGCTGGAGGGCTTCTGAGTCTTCTCCCATGGGACACGCATCTACTGTGTGTGCTTGAGTCTCCTGGGATGACCACGTTGAGCTCCCCACTGCCCGCACCGTGGCTGGGGCCTCCCTTAGGCGGGAGGACCAGGGTGAGGGTCTCCAGTTCCCCTCTCTGCGGACCCAGGAGTAAGCCTCCCCTGGATCCTGACTGTGAGCATGTCACAGGCCCCGTCACAGGCACCCTGCAACCCCCACAGCACTCATGTGCAAATGTGTGTACAGGGGGCTCAGAGCAGAAGGGGCTAAGCCAGGCCCCAGGGCATGCTCAGTGCTTGCCCGGAAATGCAGAGGTGAGACCACAGGAAATAGCAGGAGGGGGCAGGATGGGACAGCGGTGGGGAGTGGGCCCAGCCCGCCTGGAGGGCGGAAGATGGCATGGGGCATGCAGAACACCAGGCAGGAAAGGTCCGTGGGCAGCTGGGGAGGGCTTTGCCCAACCCTCTGAAGCCACTAGACATTGGAACAGAGGGGGTCAGATGCTCTTCAGAAACCTAGTTTAGTGCCTCGGTAGGAAGAGGCACATCTGGGTCCAGCCAGGTGACTGGCTCCCCACAGGGGCTCCCTGAGTCGCAAGGAAGGGCATTGGATCCCCCGTGTGTGGGGGCCGGGGTCACTGGGGAACCAGGGCTGAGGGGAGGGCGGAGTGCCACCTGACTCATCCAGTGCCAGGCATTGGGGGTGGCCTGAGGTCTGGGGAGGTGAGGAGCAGGGGGCAGAGGCAGGTGGAACGTGGGAAGCCAGTTACCCCAGGAATGGGGTGAGGGGGTGCAGGACGGGGCAAGGCCCCACGGGACCTTCTGCCTCCTCACACTATCACCGGCTTTCAAGAGCCATGGTCTCCTCCTCCACACCCGTCTTAAGGCCCTCATGTGGTGCTCTACAAGAAGGAGGGTTGTTCTTCCAAAAATACAGAGAGAAGTGGAAGCACCTAGCTCTAGCGTGCCCGACACTCAGAGCTCTTCAGAGATGACCCACACACCCAACCCCTCCATTCTGTGCCCCTTCTGGCTCTTCCTCCTCAAAAAGCCTCCTTCCTGTCCCTGGTTCTACACTCTTAGGACGTGTGTGCATCACAAACAACTGAAGTGTTGCTGTAAGTGTTTACAAAGCATGAGTACGATACACTACATACTTCCTTTGCCACTTGACATATTTTTCCACACAACGAGGCTCATTCATCTGAGTCACTGTACTGTACCCGCCATATGCACAACAGATGTGCCACCCGTTGCCTCACTGAATGACAGCTTGTCCCTAGTTTCTCTTCCACAAAGAGGCCTGCTATGAACATCCCAGGACATGTCGCCGGACCTCTGTAGTCTATTCTGAGATGCATATGATATGCACTAATTGCATATATCAGACACCCTCTAGACTATGGGTCCCAGCATTCATGGTCTCCACTCCATCAGTTACTGCCAAATGGTTTTCCAAGATGGCACCATCACGCTCCCATCAGCGGCAGGTGCATGAGCTTCACCACATTATCATCCCTGGTTGCTCTTTAGGCTTTTAACATTTAAAAGCCAATCTAATGGGCATGAAGTAAAATCATTTTGTTCAAATCTTTATTTCCAGATTACTGGTGAGTGAGATATAAAACCCAAATTGAAATGAAGACATCCTTAAATGCTCCTCACAGTTCTGTATTAAAAAAGTACTCGTGCTGAGATTCTCATATTGAAGATAAGCAAGGCTGGCAGGAGGCAGCCCAGAGGCGCTGTTTACACACACACACTAGAAGCTAACCTGATTCCATTCTGCATTCCTTCTCAATCTAGAGAAAAATCACTCTGCAGTATTGACCTATCACTGTCATCCCATGACTGTTCTCCTATAAAATACATGTGTTCTTTATTTGTATTTAAAGACTAATATCAGAAAAACATGGCTTTGTCAGCAAGAATTTGACCATTAATAATCTCACTAGAAGCTGTCATTTTACAAATTATTCAGATCTCCCAAATGAAATGTTCACCTATCAACACTGAAATGCAAACACCATTAGGTTCAAAAGTCTGCAGCAGATAAGGGACTTGTTTCTGGAGCATATAATGAATTCTCACAAATCATTAATAAAAAGATAAAGACTACAATTTTAAGATGGATGAAGGATTTAGTGACATTTTCTTGAAGAAATAGACACAAACAGCCAATAAGCACAGGCAAAGATGCTCAATATCGTTTGCAAACCAAGATCACGAAGGGCTACTTCACACCCACACCAGGGAGACGCCGCCCAGACAGATGCAGACTGCTAGAAGCTTGGAGCGGGGATGGCGGGAGGTGCTCGCTAGTACAGGGCCTCCCTCCGAGGGGATGGGAATTTTCTGGAACCAGACTGAGGTGACAGCTAGAGTACTAAGATGGCCAGATGAACAGTGGACATAACTGAGACATAGTCCTCTCACTGTCAGTGACCAGAACCAGGGAGAAGAGCCCGAGGCACGCGGGAATCCATGTGCTCGCTTAGGAAACAGCAGCCAGGACTCTGCACACAGTGGATCCTGGCAGTTCAGACAGTCAAGAGTGTGGACAGGCCAGGAAATTTCAGGACTGATTGGTCCTGAACATGAAAACCTTGGTTTCCTACTCAGACTCACAGGACACCACCCTCACTGCTACATTTCATAATCTCTTATTTTAGCACAAGTGTCAATCTAAGACGGTGACCAAAATGAATTTCTCCAAGTTAGCTAAACTTCCCATGAACTAGCTATAACACAGATCACCATGCTTTGGGTAAGAGGTGACATTATATAACAAGAGGGCACCATCTTCCCTTCAGGCAGCAGACGTCTTACCTGTTTGATGGCGGTGACGGTGATGACAAAGAACAGCGGGAGCCCGCTGGTTACTGGACTCGTGGGGGTGTCGATAATCAACTGCAATTAAAGCAGAATTGTAGAGCTACTGTCAAAGCAGGTCCCAGTGACCTTAGACTGGCAGGCCTGTAACACCCACAAAAACATCTGCTTTCATTCATAAACCCACTTTATCCCCCCTGAAGATAAGTCACTCTATTTACCATGAAACAAGGGTGGTTTGCTCCAGTTCCGGGACCTGCTTAAGGAAGCCCCACCAACTGCAGCAAAGACATAAGCCTGACTGGGGCTTGCATCTTATTTTATTTTACTGTGCAGCTTCCCATGCTTCAATTACATTGAATAACATGATGTTGGGGACGATCTGAAAGTCGTTCCGCTGTATTTTGCATGATCGAGAAAAACAAGGTTAGAAGTCTTAAAACACATCAGACCCCTGCTCCCTAACTCAGCCCTCACTGAGGTTCTATCTTCTCATTCTCTCCCAGGCACACTGAGGAGGATCCACCCAACAATGCCCAGTGTGGCTGCTAGTTCCTCCGAATGACCGGGGTGGGGGGGGGGACTCCTGATTTGCCCCCGAGGACCGGAAGGCGGCCAGAACCACCCCACAGGCAGACTGTTCACGTGTCTGCTGCAGCTCAGACATCTCTCTGCACCAACACGCTTGCCCATGAAGGAAACAGAGGAAGTGCTCCAAGTACTTGCTCTTTCTTGTTAGCAAACCACAGTGGACCTCCTGAGAATTAAGGGCCACTATTTCGATTTTACATTTAATGTGATAAAAAAGACAGTGGGCCTCACCTGCACCAGAAATATGATAAGAAAATAAAAGTTGGCTATTCTTCTGAATTGTTCAAACAAGTTCTTGGGTATGAAGTTCCAAAACGTGTACTGTATAAAAGAAAAACAAACAGGTGTCATTTTGATCACATTTTACTCTTTTACAGTGTTACTTTCCTATGGGATGACAACACTGGATGTCAAAGCACAAAATGTTTAGTTTTAGATACAAAACTCACAAGTCAAAATTTAGAGTGTTCTGTATACGTTTTATCAATTTGTTGACCACAGGAGTGAACCCCTAACACAGAATACATACTCTGAAAGCAGTGTGAGTTACCCCATGCCAGGTAATTCAATGCCACGGGAAGCAGTTTAACAACAGTTTTACCCTTAAAATACATTTCGTAGGACACAAACCTCTGATTGTTAACACACATGCGCTCAGCACCCCCCTTTCCCTCCTGCCTGTGACAGTGTCTCTAGCTGGCCCAGAAAGGTACACCAGAAGTCAGCACCAGAAGCAGCCTTGCTCTGGCCTGGAGACAGCCCCGAGGTGCAGGTGTCCCACACCTCCTCAGTCCCACACACCTCCTCCGCCTACAGGGAGTGGAGGGCGGACAAGGAAGGGAGTCCTGACGCTCACCTACTCTCCAGACTGCTCCACTGTGCCTCAGAAGTTTCCTTACCTTCCCCATTGAGAACAATATCTGGGTATCATTATCCTCCAGTAAATGCACTGCCCATGGTGTCTGTTAGCATGTGGAATACTCCCGACCACCCCCCCACCCGTGGCCAAGCCCCCAGCACCTTCCCTTCTGAGTGCTAACAACTCCCCTTCAGCTGACCCCCTAGCACCTTCTCCTGAGTGCTCCTGAGCCCCCTGCAGTCGGCCCCCCAGCACCTTCCCCTCCCAGTACTCCTGACCTCCACACGGGTGACCCTGCAGCACCTTCCCCTCCATATAGGGCCTGACACCGGGCCTCTACAGACTATGTGCCTGGCAAACATTTCCTCAGTCAGTGGCATGTCTTTCTAATTCTCTTAAAATTATCTTTAGAAGAGCAGAAGATTTTAAGTTGTGAATTCAATGGTTTGTTGCTGGCCTTGCTCTCATTGTTTATAAGTGAAACTTATCCCAGGTTCTGTTGGGATCCTCTCCACGACCATCGTGTCACTTGTCTGCTTCTTCCTGGCCCGTTGGCCTGTCCTGCATCACTCTCGTCTGTCACGCATTAGCCACAACATCCAGGGAGCTGCTCAACGGGGTGGTGAGAGGAGGACTGCACCATTCTCCATCTTAAGGTGGGAGTATCTCTATTTTCGCCCTCAGGAATGGTATTAGCTGAGGGTTTACTGCAGACACTCTTCATCATGTTGAAATTCTCCTGTATTTGTACTTTCCGGAAACTTTCCATCAGGGACAGGTGTTGGATTTTGTCAAATGCACACTAATCTTTCCTCATTCGAAAACCAAACAGGTCTCCTGGTCAGAAATGCAGCCACGGACATTAAAAGAGGGGAGAGAATACATAGCTAGACCTTTACCTCGGTGTCCCCATCAGAAAAAACAAAACAGTTCGGCTATTGTGGACATTGCTGCTAGAAACATCGGGGTGCAGGTGCCCCGGCGTTTCATTGCATCTGAATCTTCGGGGTAAATCCCTAACAGTGCAATTGCTGGGTCGTAGGGCAGGTCTATTTTTAATTCTTTGAGGAACCTCCACACAGTTTTCCAAAGTGGCTGCACCAGTTCACACTCCCACCAACAGTGTAAGAGGGTTCCCTTTTCTCCGCATCCTCTCCAACATTTGTTGTTTCCTGCCTTGTTAATTTTCCCCATTCTCACTGGTGTGAGGTGGTATCTCATTGTGGTTTTGATTTGTATTTCCCTGATGGCAAGTGATGCAGAGCATTTTCTCATGTGCGTGTTGGCCATGTGTAGGTCTTCCTCTGTGAGATTTCTCTTCATGTCTTTTGCCCATTTCCTGTTTGGATCGTTTGCTTCTTTGTGTTGAGTTTAATAAGTTCTTTATAGATCTTGGAAACTAGCCCTTTATCTGATACGTCATTTGCAAATATCTTCTCCCATTCTGTAGGTTGTCTTTGAGTTTTGTTGACTGTATCCTTTGCTGTGCAAAAGCTTCTTATCTTGATGAAGTCCCAAGAGTTCATTTTTGCTTTTGTTTCTTTTGCCTTCGTGGATGTATCTTGCAAGAAGTTACTGTGGCCGAGCCTCAGTGTCCATCGAAAGATGAATGGATAAAGAAGATGTGGTTTATGTATACAATGGAATATTCCTCAGCCATTAGAAACGACAAATACCCACCATTAGCTTCAACGTGGATGGAACTGGAGGGTATTATGCTGAGTGAAGTAAGTCAATCGGAGAAGGACAAACATTATATGTTCTCACTCATTTGGGGAATATGAATAATAGTGAAAGGGAATATAAGGGAAGGGAGAAGAAATGTGTGGGAAATATCAGAAAGGGAGACAGAACACGAAGACTCCTAACTCTGGGAAACGAACTAGGGGTGGTGGAAGGGAAGGAGGGTGGGGGGTGGGGGTGAATGGGTGATGGGCACTGAGGGGGGGCACTTGACGGGATGAGCACTGGGTGTTATTCTGTATGTTGGCAAATTGAACACCAATAAAAATAAATTTATTATTAAAAAAATAAAAATAAAATAAAACAAAATAGGATTCAAAAGCAAAAAAAAAAAAAAACAAACCAAAACAAAAACCACAATCTGAATTTTTTTTCTTAGAGAGAGAGAGTCAAACCAAGAAACAGACTCTTTTTTTTTTTTTAAGATTTTGTTTATTTATTCATAGAGACACAGAGAGAGAGGCAGAGACACAGGCAGAGGGAGAAGCACGCCCCCTACAGGAAGCCTGACGTGGGACTGGATCCCAGGTCTCCAGGATCACACCCCAGGGTGCAGGCGGCACTAAACCGCCGCACCACCGGGGCTGCCCACAATCTGAATTCTTAACATGCTACCCTACCTCTGGATAATTTGGCTTCTCCATGGAATTCAGAAAACATTTGTCGTTTATCCCACTGCTAAATATGCAGCCTCTGTGGAGTCAGACCCCGTATCCAACCTGGTCCTGACACTTAAAGATCAAGTACTTTAGTAAATCATTTAAGGACTGGGTTCTGGTTTCTTCGCTTTATAAAGTAATGATACTAGCAGGTACCCTGAAGAAAGATGGTTGAGGATCAAAGTCCTGGCTGGAACTGGTGCTCACACAGTAACAGGACATTAAAATTCTACAGCTTGGCAAACGGTACAAACATAAGCAATCTTCTAAAATTTTTAAAAAAGGAAAATAGTTTTTCTCTTATATGAGATAAAAAGTCAGTTATTTTCCACTAACTTTTAAAAGGAGATCATTTTTTAAAATGTAAGTTACTAGGTAGTCATAGCATTTACGTCTCATTTTTGAGTTTCTGTGACTGGCTTAGAATGACTCACAATACTTCACAGATTTCCTGACCCCAGAACAGAACTGTCTCAAGGCCCCACCCCCTGAAACCAACCTGACTGCCCAGGACCCACACCCACACTCACTACCCATCAATCAAAAATGTCCCCATGTACCTGTAATCTGTTACTTGGTACCAATGTCACATCAATGGAAAAAGCTACTTAAAACCCCATCTTCTGTCTCCTCAAGTGTCTAAACATAAAAACCCAATGCTGTTCAAGATGTGCCTCACAACACTGGGTGAAGATCGCCAAGGTGCAGATGCCCGAGTGCCTGTGATAGGGACATAAGACACTTGTCACACCACTCTCTGAGTTCTTACATTTCCTTGGAAGCTTCCATGTGAGAAAACTTTCATCTTATATGTATGATGAAGATAAAATGGATTGTCATCTGCTACAATCCTTCCAAGTGGGAGACCATGTGAACACCTGGTCGTGTCCTATTTGAATGCTACCGTTTCTGAAACGCTTTTAGCTTCCCAAATTCTAGCGTGCCAGCTTGGATTTGGAACTGAAAGCCACTTAAATGATTGCTTCCTTGTAATCGGGCACAGAGAGGCTGTGTAGCTGCTTAGACATTACACTTTGTAACCCTCTTATCTCGCAGAATATTTCACCATCACAAGTCATTACTGCTACTTATTAATGTGGTCAAAAAGAAGGTCACTAATTCCAGTAGTACATGACAAGAAATGCAAAGACCTGAGGAGCTGACCAGAATGTGTGTGAGTGCGTGCAGATCAGCTCCACGCGGGCAGGATGTAGTAACTGGGCACTGGGCGACATATGAGAGCTGGCCAGCAGATGCTGTGGGGCCACCGTGCACACTCCGTCTTCCGTAAGTCCTGGGGGCTGAGTGTCTGCGTGGACACGGGGCCACGCTGTCAGGTGTTCCACAGGGCCTGGCACCATAGGTGCCCCATTCTGGAATACTGACGTCAGAAAAATGAGTGAGCATCACGGTGGCCCAGTGAGGAGAACTGCTGGTGCCTCGGGGCCACGGGGAAGGTGCAGGCTCACATACAGACTTGAGGCTAAAAACTGACCCACGGGCTTTGTCCTGAGGCTGCTCCTTCTCCAATGGGCCAGGGTGTAGGTAGCACTGGGCTGTTCTGGGGAAGACAGGATATACCCATAAGTCCACAGGAACACTATCTGTCCACATCTAATTGGTAAAAGTAATCTTCCCTTGTCAATGACCAGAAGTGACACAGCTTTCTCAGAGGAATGGGGTGACGGTATAGCCTGTGCCTAGTATTTAATGTGTGGTGTCCTGCGGACAGAGTGGGGAGCCACCTGCATTTTGTGCCCAAAGTACGAGTCTATGAACTGACAAAGCAGCACCTGGGCCTTCCGGTGAACTGGGATCTGCTTGCACGTGAGCTCTAGCAGGCCCTGGGCACCACAAGGGGGACGTGCTGGGGAGAAGGTTCTGGTTTCTCCTTCATCCTAGACACCTGCCCAGCATGTCTCCCCCAGAAAGGACACCCAACTCTAATCAATCCTTGACTGCCAACCTCGGCACTTCCATGGAGCGGGTCCAAAGCTGAGCCTGGTGAGGCTTGTTCAGCCCTGGTGTAATTTTTCACATGATAAAAGCTCTCTGAGTCAATGAGATCAAGCTTATTGAGGAGGGGCTTCTACGCACAGATGAATGCTCAGCCAGCAGTCTTCTTGTAAGACAAAAGCTTTCTTCCTGAGAAAACATGGCCACGTCACAGCAAACATTCTCCGGACCTGTCCAGGCTTAGGCTGTACAAATTAAGTTGTTTTTTTTTTTTCCCATCCATCCTGAGCTGTTTTTAAATGAAAGCAATCATGTGCTCTGGATGCCACTGGGGCGGACAGACATCCAGACCACCGTCCACCCGGCCAATAGCTTGGGGCAAGTCCTTGGCCTTCCAGGCCTTCTCTTCTGCACAGAATCTGGTGAGCAGTAGAGGCTGTGCTGTATGCGATTTCTCCTTAAATGACACAGCATCATCTCCCGTGGACAGGCGCCACAACACCGGCCCGGCCTCCTGAGGAAGGGCGACTCTTCCTGGAACAACAAGGAGCGTAGACGCAGGGCCCCTCCTGCTTTGAGCAGAGACACAGGCTCCGACCTTCTGTGTGGCCTTAGCCAGACCTGCCTCTTGCAAGGATGTTGACTCAGTTCTTCCCACTCTGAAGGAGCTTTCAGGACAAGGACTCATCGTGAAAGCCCCTGGGGCATGGCGATTGTGTCTCAAACCAGTCCTGCCTGCACCCCCTGCAGTGTTGCCTTTGTTGGAAACCAGGGCAGCCCCAGGGATCCCAGTGTGGGTGGAGCAGCCGAGGAGGGTGTGCGCCATGAACCACCCCAGGGACAGAAAAGGTGGCAGGAAGACAAGGCACCTCCAAGTCACTATGCGAGTATTTGGGGAAAAAATGAAAATAATAGATTGGCTCTAAAACCTGAATCAGGGATCCCTGGGTGGCGCAGCGGTTTGGCGCCTGCCTTTGGCCCGGGGCGCGATCCTGGAGACCCGGGATCGAATCCCACATCGGGCTCCCGGTGCATGGAGCCTGCTTCTCCCTCTGCCTGTGTCTCTGCCTCTCTCTCTCTCTCTCTCTCTCTCTCTCTCTCTCTCTCTCTCTGTGACTATCATAAATAAAAATTAAAAATATATAAAAAAATAAATAAAATCTTAAAAAAAAAAAAAATAAAAAAATAAAACCTGAATCAGAGGACAAAAGAATGGGAAGTAGAAACCACTGCTCTTAGTTATCTCCCCCACAACACCGATGAGGCTTTCTGTCCTAAATAAGGGATCCTTTGGCTTCAGCCACATTCTGCCAGATGCATCAAGAAGGCCCTCAGTTCACCCCAATCCATGAGGGGCTGTGTTTTCTAGAAGGTTCCTCCATGCCGCCCTGCACAGAACTTTGCACAGTGACCTGAAGGCACTAGGGCTGGGACTTCCGAGGCCAGGCTGTGTCCCAGGAGGGAGAGACCAGCTGCATCAGGAAGCCTCCAGTGGCGGAAGGGCCCTACAAATGTCCTGTGGGCCCGACACAGGGCAGTGTGGGTGGTTTCCTGCCCTGCCGCCTGCCCTGACCAGCTCACACAGCGCCCACGGCAGTGGTGTCAGGTGCGTGTCCCTGGTTCTCAAAGCATTTGAGCTGCACAGGATCTGATTTAAGAAATGTGTTTGAGAGTCCTTCTCTGTTTCAGGAGCACCAGTAACAGGCTCTTTGGTAAGCTCTACCTGAGACTGTGTCAGTTCACACAGGTCACCACTGTCAAGATCTGCCCTGGGTAAGGTCCTGCTTGGTCACATTTCCCATCATTTATCTGTTTGGGTGACCGAGTGCCATGCTTGTTGCTCAGGGTTTTGTGATGACCAATCTGCTTGTCCACACGGTGACTATGGTGATTAAAGCTGCTGTCATCATCGTCACTACTGTTATTTTTATGACAGTTTTAAATAGAATAAATCCATTAAAAAATGCCTTGAAAAGCAAAGGTTTTTCTGTTCTCAAATATTCTTAACAAACTTAGAGCAATCTTTGATAGTTTACAAAGAATTTAATAGGGCTACCATGCACATCTAGACATATGGGACATCCATGTATGGAGCAGGTGTGCCCGCCACACAGGTGTGCACACACACCAGGGGGTGGGGCATGTTAGGTCCAGTGAGCCCACCACATAGGTGTGCATAGCCAGATAGGCATGTACCTCTAAAGGGAAAGTTCTCCAGAATCTGGGAAGCCATCATTTACCTTGTTTGTTCAAAGCCAGCTACTAAATTTCCCACCCCATTCTGGAGAGCCATTGAGGGGTTCCTCTGCAAGTGTGTGAAGTACAGTTCCGCTCCTGCTCTCCAGTCGAGGAGAACAGCGCTTCACTAGAGTGGGGACACCGCAATCATGGTCTTCCTGTGGCTGTTACGACACTGACTGCCTAACAGACTGGGACACATGCTCAGTGTTCTGTCTACGAGGTGGATGCACGTACCTCCTCCCACCAGTGACATCCAGGGTCATCTCTAGAGATGAGGAGCCCCTGGTGTGGGCTGGGGACTTGGGACGGGCATGTGGCCACACAGCAAACACGTAAGTGGCCATGGTAGGCCTCCCATGTTCGTGGCATAATTAAGGAGAAGTGGAGGACAGGTGGTCCCCACACAGGATGCATGGCTCACCAGCTGGGGGAACAAGCTGCAGGACGAGTGGGCCAGCCCAAGTGGGCGCCAACCACAGTGCTCGGTGGGTGGGCAGCAGCCACGGCAATGGTAATCATAGGGCTTGTGGGAAACAGAATCCCAGGAAACAGCTCACCTTGGAAGAGACTATTCTGTTGTCGGGGTGCCTCTGCAGGATGTATGCCTCAGCACCAGGCGGGGGCTCCTTGTGCCCCACGTAGATGGTCCGACTGTCCACCCAGTTCTCTTCTCCAGCACACTACAGAATACAGAGCAGCATTAGCACAGGGACAGCTCCTCCCCAGAGTGCCAGCTGCATCGCAAGTCCCCATCAACAGAACCTGTGTGGGGCCAAGTCCCAAGCTTCCTCCCTCTCACCCAACCCCCACGGGAGTGGCCTGAGCAGGTGGTCTGCACCCCCAGCCAGAGCCGCTGGTCGTCAGGGGAAAGAACGTAGCTGGGCTCAGTGGGATCCTCGGGCTTCCAACAGAAAGGACAGCAGCCGTTGGAAACATGGAGCAGGTCTCTAACAAGAGGGTAAAAGTGGGCATTCAGGACAGAGGTGTGAGCCCTCCAGTATCTCCCTACTCAACGGCTCTCCTGGGAAGAGAGGAGGCTGGGGTGCTATTCAAAGTGTCGTGCCCACCAGGCACTTGGTAAACATCTTCTGACCAGAAGGACCTTTACAACCCTCCACCAACCCTGCACTGTCAGCACAGAGGAGCCTAAGACACCACAGCTACCAATTCAGCCTCGCATAGCAGCCCCCTCAGCCCCTGGCCCCCCAGGCCGGCCACCCAGCTCGGGGTCCTGCCCCACCAGGCGGCCTGCTGGGGTGCCGTAAGCAGGGTGAAGTGGGGGTCGATGTGATGGGATGGAGGAAGGGTGGGTCAGGCCAGAGCTCTGGCTCCCACATCACTGAGACACAAGTCTCAGCATCTCCATGGCACCTGAGGACAGCGTCTGCTCCTCGCTCATGGCTGCTGCTGCCAACAATGAACAGAAGCAGGAAGTGAAGCAGGAGCCACGCAGGAGCCCAGGGTGGTCTGTCCCTGCTCGATCCTGTGCCCACCCACTGTGGGCAGGGAGCCCCCACTCTTGAAGCTGCACAGACGGGTAATGCAAGCAACCCGCGTCTCTGCCGACTGAGGGACGAGAGCCTCGTGTCGCCTTGGTCTGGTTTTTGCTCACGCGCCCCCATGTTTGCCCATCTACCACCCTCTCAGGGGCAGGAGCCCACAGGTGGGGGCTGTGCCCCCAGCAGCACGGCACGTATAGCCGCTGTCAACGCTGCCTTTGCGCCCTCCATCAGGGCCTGGCTTTGTGAGGCATCCAAGCAGACTAGAGGCACAGACAAGCCAAGCCCCGTAACCCCACCCATGTTTCCAGAGACGCTCAGTATGGATGTGGGAAACGCAAGACCCTGGGAGAGAACGGGGTGGCCCCTCCTCAGCAGGAAGTCAGGATGTGGCCCCCCCAGAAACCCTGCACTACGAGGGCCAGGCCGTATCCGTGGCAGTGCGAGCCCTTCCCCACCGCCCCACGCCCCTCCTGCTACCATTTCAAGGATGCTGACTAAAATGCCTGTGTGACAGCTTTGTAAATAAATCTCTGTATGTGAGATTTAAGAAAAGAGAGTCCCTGGTATCCCTTTACTTCTCAAGACACAACCACAGGGGCTCCTCATTCCCATGGATTCATGTACTTGTGTTCAAAAAGAATATGTAATAAAAGAACTAGGAGAGAAAGAAAAGCATAAAGACCCAACTTTTAATACAAAAATGAAAATCCTGAAAACCTTTCCCCAGCCACTGGCTTTCAGGCCTGACCCTGGCACAGACGCTCCAATCCTTGCAGCAGGCCGGCAGAGGTACCCACTGCGCCCAGAGCACATCCACATCTCAAGGGAGGTGCAGTCAGGAGGAATGCTATCGCTTCATATTCTCCGCACTGTCTAGAAGTCACCCACTATTTTAATATGATCATAATGCCTCGCACACGACCACCCAGAGTGGAGCTATTTTACCTACTGCACATTGGGATGCTTCTTCTGCCTGAGGGACGTGACCAGGAAAGACACTGAGCAGCAACAAGCAGCGGAGCCTCCCTAAATCACTGCAATGAAAAATCCACCTGTAAGGAGCCATGTACCTACTGGGTGAAAGCTCAGCGTGGCATCGGGACGCTCCCTTCCTGCTCCCTGAAGGACACAAAAAAAGCAACAAGTCACCAGCCTCTGGAAGGCCCTGCTGCCCTGAACAGGTCACAACTCAGTGGACCCCAAGGCCATCCGTGAGGTGATGCTTCCAACTGCCCTTGCTCACCATGTGGTCAGCATCGCAGGCCCAGGGAGGGGCCCCAAGGGAAGACCCTTCTCGAGGTCAGGAACCTGCAGGGGATCTCATGTGTGGCCCTGACAGGCAGAAAGCGTCTCCAGGTTCAGATCAAGACCAAGATGAGTTCTGAGGGCTGTTCTCTGCACAAATGTCCAGCTCTAAGAACCCCGAATGTACAGAACATGTACACAACGCAACCAACAAGGCGCTCCTGAGAAAGCCTGGCTCGGGTCACACCCACGTCACACACGTGTCCTGCGGCTGACTGGCTCCCTAAATATGGACGCGCAGCTCAATACTTCTGTGTCTGGTTTGGTCAGCAAGACTGTGCTTCTCTGTACATTCAGTGATGAAAACAAACTTATCAGCCCCGATTATATAACTTCATGACTTAGCCAGTCCTGACCCACACATCAGCCACACAGTCCGCCGTCCAGCACTGGTACACTCAGAAGGGCAGTCATGTCACTCAGAGCTCTGAGCATGATGCTGTGGGCATCATGAAACCTCCGAGGTCAGGGAGACAGAGACACCAGCCTCATCGGAGACAGGACCAGCGCTGCCACCCAACACAGCCTCCAGGACCTCCCCCACAGTGTGGGGGGCTGGAGATGCACATCAGCAATGCAAGGCTGATGCCAGCAGGAGGTGCTCTCCCTCAGCTCCCAGGGGGCCCAAGAGGATAGCGCCCGCACGCCCTGAAGGCTGCCGTGAGTCCAATCCCAAGTGCATATCTAAGCTGCGGGAACGGGCCCCGGTGCTCTGTGGCCTGCAGCATGCAGACCCACGCCTGCACTGCCCAGAGCGCCCTGGGCTCACCACCGCGGACAGGCAGCTGCCGCCTGGCCAGATCCCAAGCCACCAGACTCACACAGAGGAGGGGAAGGAGTCTTCCTTCTGTCACAAACAGAAACGAGGGGGAAAACCATAGGACATACAGCGGCTGATGGAAGAAAGTGCAGCATCTGGGAGATCACCAGCATGCATGGTGGTGAGGTGGGTACCCTGTTCCAGAAAACAAGCTCCAGGAGAACCACCAATGAGGAGAGCTTCAGGCAGCGAGCAAGATCAGTGGAGAGCAGACCCCACGTGTGCCATGGAGCGCCGCTGTCTTCACCCAACGTACCCACCAGCATGTCCGTGTGCACATGATGCCATGCCCTGAAGTGATGGCACAACGCTCTGCCGGCCACACACTGCAGAGAACCCGGTGCTTCTGTCCCTGTGAGCCAGGAATAAAACTTCCACTTTTGTTCCAGAGCACAGAACACACTATAGACAAATAGAACTGCTTCGCTCACTCATGCAGTTTATTTATGTCCAACCTAAAAGCACACAGGCAGACACTGTGGTTCGTGTGATGGACTGTGAGTTCCCAACGAGCTCTTAAAATGCTAGTCACGGCATGAACGGGTATAGACATGGCTCTGTCAGCAGAGAGCTCCTGTTCACACAGCAACCCCTCCATCCTCCACGCCCATTGTGACAGAGCAGCCTTCCCTCAGGTGGACCTAATGTCTGGCCCATTCAGATTACTAAACGAACATTCAGGTAAGCTGTTGGTCAACAGGGCACCTGGTGTTCCATATCCTGCTGGCGGGAGACACGGACGGAAACTGCAAGGACACAAGGCCCTGGGCGGTGACAACAGAGACGAGGGCACACAGGGAGGCTGTGGGGATGGGGCTGCCCGTCACCGGCGGGGATCGTGCAGCAGGGCAGCCGCTGTGGGAGATGGTCACCACTTCCCCAGAAAGGCAAGTGTGCCACAGTCGCCACATGGCCCAGCGATCCCAGTACTTGGTGTGTATGGAGAAATGGAAGCAATGTCCACATAACTGCATGTACACGTGTGTTCACACCAGCGTCGTTTGGAGCAGCCAAGAGGTGGGAACAACCCGAATGTCACTCAGCTGATGGACAGACACAGAGGACTGGTTTACCCACACAACGGACTCATCACTCAACCATGAGGAGGACGCATGCTACAGCATGGGTGAACATGGAAACTACATAAAGGAAGGAAACGGAGACAAAAGGTCACGCACCATAGGGTCTCATTCACATGAAATGTCCAGGACGGGCAGATCTGCAGAGACTGTGCTTGCCCAGGGCTGGGCGAGTAACCGCTAATGGTTTCTTTTGGGATGAGGAAAATGCTCTGATTGGGGGTGTGAACATGTTCCAACAGACACTGATGAGTCGCACACATGCAAAGCCCTGTGGTACGCAGGTTACACCTTAGCAGTGATACAGCAGATACTCATGCTTCCTGGGTGGCTGTGCAGTCTACATGCACACGAGCTCACCACTTCTCACTTCAGGAACACACGGTGGTGGCGGCGCTGTCGGAGATCACACAGCTCCTGTGCATGCCTCCCATCCGTCCTTGGCTTCTGCTGGCCCTTCTTCATTTTCTTGGAGGGAGAGGTCAGCCTTGTGTCTGAACCGCTTCCCCTTCCAGTCGCCCGTGTAGGCTCTAGAAACTCAGATGTAAAGGTCTCACAGTAACTGTTTCAGGAAGTGAAAGCTACAGCAGGGAACATGACCTGGTGGGATCTCGTACAACAGGCCTCATGCCTGACGCACACAGTCATGCCTCTGCAAATGGCACATCCCTCAGCGAAAGAGGAAGGATGCACGGTAGGCTCACAGGGGACCTGCCAACACTGCTCACCTGGCAGGTCTCAGTGGCGGCTATGGTGGCAGGGGCTTCAGAAACTGCTCAGTTGGCCTGCCTCCTCTCAGGGCCTTCGAGTGGCCAGAGCTGCCTTTGCGTGAGCCCTCCACGCGTCAGCCCTCCACGCGTCAGCACCTGCTCACCTGCCTGGGATGAGCAGATGCACCTATGGGTGGGTGGGAGGCTGGGGCCATGCTGAGCAAGCCCATCAGATCCACTTCCATGACTCCCACGACAGTAGAC